ACGCCGCTTCCTACTACGCCGAGTGTTGTGGGTTCAAACCCCACATGGGACGACACTTTGGGTGATCCACAAATTGTTGTTCTGAGTCTGGGTGTTCTTTGTGTCCGTTTCATGTATGTTTGTAAAGTCCCCCGCGACACGGGATGTATTCCTAATGCGGGAGTTGTCTTTTCTAAGAAAAGAAAAGAAAAAAAGAAAGAAAAATATAGATACAAGCTCTACCGAAAATATAGGGGAGAGTAACCAATATTGAACCGGCGCTTAAATTGGACCATTTCTGTATTTCTACCAAAATGGCACTATTTTTTTACACTAGCAACAAAAAAAGGAGCACCTGTTCATCCCGTGGGTGTCGTAAGAGCCTACTAAGGGAGCAAACTGCGCAGGGCAACAGCACTGCAAAGAGAAGGAAAACTTGACACAAACCCTATACCAACCCGTCTGGCCAGCGTGGTATGGTAGGCCAAAACCTCCTTCTAAAGAGAGACCTATGTCTAGCAGTGGACTGTTAAAGGCTGTTGATGATGATAAAAAATAAAAATACCAATATACTATACCAAATAGTGCCATTTTGGTAGAAATACATAAGTAAGCCAATTTAAGCGCCTGTTCAATATGGGTTACTCTCCCCTATTAACTTTAATATGAAATATGAAAAAGATGTGAACGCGCCAACTGAAGTGTCGAAAAAAAGTCTTGTTACACATTCTTCCGCTCCGAGTGTGTAAACGCGCGATAAAAAACTTCGTGCCAATAATTTGTGGATCACACAAACACTTTTTCCGTTGTGGGTATCAATTTTGTAATCTTCGCCGCTAGACAAAAATCCTTCTTAGAACAGTTGAATTTAAAAAGAAAAAAATCGGGACAAGTGCAAGTCGGACTCGCCCACCGAGGGTTCCGTAAAAATTTGTAGGTACATATTTTAAATAGTTGAAAAATCGAATCTCCCTGTTTTGCCAAGCTTTTCCCGAAATTCAGTTTCCAAAACCTTTTATTACTTAAATTGTGTTTAATAACTTAAATTGTAACTCGATTATTGATTACGTACTTTAAATATATATTGTGGGATCTGAGCCGACATCGACTATTTTATGGCTATAAAAAGGCTCGCAACACAGGGCGCGCTCTCACGAGCGAGTCGAGCCGCCGCCTGTTACGCGCACAACAGTCGCTGGAACTGCGTGACGTAATGCAGGCTCCTCGCTACGTGAGAAACGATGTCATCCAGAGGGACCTCAAGATTGAGAGCCTGGACGCCCACATACGCCGTCTCACCGTCGCGATGTTCGAGCGTGCCGACGCGTCCTCCTGGGAACACATCCGGGACTTGGCGCCTTGGCACGCTCGACCACCCGACAAAAAGAAGTTCCCGCGCGACCTCCTTACGGACGATCCCGACAAAGACAGTGGTCCCCTCCCGGGTACAGACACCGTCCCACAATCAACCCATTAAGGGCCCCGCCGCGCCTCATAGGAAGCCCCCATGGGCGGCCAAATGCGGCGCCGCGGCGCGGCCCTACTTAAATAATAAAAACGTTCCTTTTAACAAATTTTTAACTTAAAAAATTACATTGTTACAGTGTTGCTGCAGCCACCCCCGGCCCGCGAGCACCTGCGCCTACTTGGCCCAAGTAGGTACATCGTGTGGGGGCGGCGATGACCGCCGCAACAATGGAAAGAAGACAGCGCCCCGCAGACTGCACAGCGGTGCGAGGCGCCACTCCCGGACTAGACACCAGAGGGGTTACACGTAAGTCGCCGCCTCTGTCGCTGGTCGCCCGGAGCTGGGCCTCCCCAGGTATCGCCTGGGGTCTCACCTGGCTCGGGCTTGACCGCCGGGGCGGCGTGAAGACTGAAGTAACCCCTCCACAACGCAACGGACCACCACAAATACAAGCCCACGACCTACCCCTATTCAGGGGTAGCGGTAGAAATCGCTGGCAGGGGGCCGAAGCCCCGAACCAGCCACCACACGCCCCCTACGGGACGTTGTGAAAACCAGCAGATCGGCGCGCTCTCAGGATTCACCCGCACGTCGACCAAGCAACATCTCCGCAGCGCCCGAAGACTTCCGAGGATTTCCCCGCACGGAGGGCCCCGCCACAGCAAGAGCAATACGAGGCTTCCGCAGACCGCGTTACGGTGCGAAGGCCCGCAACACACTGTGGCGAACCGCGCGTGAGTCGCCGCCCCTGTGGCTGATCTTTTTTTTGACGTAACAACGTCTTATAATTCGATGGAGCCGGCTGCACGCACGAAAAAACATGACTCATGCGGCGTTACCTCGCTCTGAGGCGTTCCATTTAAGGCGTGAAGTGCAAGCGAGAGCGCGGAACGAGTGACAAAGAGGCACAATAGGCCTCCGCGTTCGGCAGCATTCGACATCTGTCTCTCTCAAGTAGGAACTTGAGTGAGCGATGCGTCCGCGTGGACAGCTACTACTCGTATACAATAATACATTTTTGAAAAATGCAACCATTCCGTCAGTATTTTCTTATGACGTTGTCACGTTCAACTATCGTCAGTAAACAGACTTTACAGACAACCGATTTTTTATGGTATAAGGAGGCAAACGAGGTGACGGGTCACCTGATGGTAAGCAACTACCGCCGGCCATGGACACCTGCAACTCAAAAGTCACAAGTGCGTTGCCGACCTTGGAGAGGGGGGATTTGGGCTCCGGTAACCTCACTCACTCAGTAAAAGGCAACGAATGAATTGCTTAACACCGGTTTTCTGTGAGAATCGTGTTCGTAAGACTCAGTGCATAATTAACTTAATTCTTTTATTAGCGTAGTTACCATGATTGTGTTCCAAGTGTGTTAAATTAATTAATCAAAGTAATATTACCTTAATCTGTGAACCTGTCGGTATTTTTTTAATTTAAATTACTGATATTATATTATATTGTTAAGTACCAGTGTTACTTAACAATATAATATAATATCATTTATTATAAAATAAACACTATATTTTTATGATTAAATTACAAATGTAGTTTTCAGATTTTCCCCTGTACTTGATGTTACTTACTTGGTCCGTGTGGTGACCAATTAAGAATACGGAGTGTCACCACCCGTATTCATCCCGTGGGTGTCGTAAGAGCCGACTAAGGGAGCAAACTACGCAGAACAACAGCACTGCAGAGAGAAGGAAAACTTGACATAAACCCTATACCAACCCGTCTGGCCAGCGTGGTATAGTAGGCCAAAACCTCCTTTCTAAGGAGAGGCTTATGTCCAGCAGTGGACTATTAGGCTGTCGATGTGATGTGATTTTACTTGCCAAATTTCATAGTTAACGGGAAGTACCCTATGAATTTTGATTCCTTTGACAGTGTCGAAACATGCATTTTTTGCGGCATAAAGGGCCGTTTCTTTTTTTAAGTTAACTTAGAAGTTTAAATTTTTACAGCTACAATTGACTTTAGGGCTGAGTATATGGTTTTAATTCCGACTCGATACCTCCACGCGTTCCCGAGATAAAGGATCTTGACAGACAGACGGACGGACGGACGGACAACAAAGTGATCCTATAAGGGTACCGTTTTTTCCTTTTGAGGTACGGAACCCTATAAAAATTACGAAAACTGATAGGATGAATAAAAACTTTTTTTTTTGATGTATCACATTGATATTTATTAATTAATTATTTATGTCATAATTATTATAAAATACATGTCAATTCTAATACACAATTAAAGGTTTGATTATTTATATTTTTTTAATTATGTAGAATCAGCCAGGTCAACTCTCTTAATAAAGTTCGGTCACGATTTAGTTTAGTATTTCCGTGGTAAAATACTAAATTATTACTTAGACTAGCAGATTACGGATTCAATTTTATGTTACAATACGATATAATCACATTACAGTCAACGTTGGATGTTTAATACTTTACTACGAAAATATCTTTTATGATAGTTGTGAGATCGAGAGTTGATCGGAACTGGATTGTGATCGAACTTTTAAGCGTCTTAACTTAACTTAACTTCATGCCATAATATGCATGTCGATTTTCATATTATCTTATATAATTTTTTTTGTTTCTTAAAATCTTAAATATGTTCATTTTCATCAATTTTAATGTCATAAATAATTATTATATTATAGTGAATTCTTCCCGCGTATTAGCTTTTACTGTAAAAATATTTTCTTTAAGAGTAATTTAAAACTTACCGACCATTTTTTTTAAAAGACAACTCTCGCATTAGGATTATATCCTGTGTCGCGGGGAACTTTACAAACATACACGAAACGGACACAAAGAACACCCAGACTCAGAACAACAATTTGTGAATCACACAAAGTGTCGTCCCATGTGGGGATCTAACCCACAAAAGTGTTATTCATTTAAAGATTGTTTAACTTAATTATGTTTGTTCAGTTTAAGATTATTTAAAAACTAACTTTTAATTATAATAATAATATTCCAAAGACTAGATCGTTATTTAATAATATAAAAATAATCTACATCTGACAGCAATATAAAGTATAACCTAAATTTTCTGCAAAAAAATAAAAATCTTTAATTTACGTCAAACTGTAAGTTTTAGTGTAACTCATCCTTTTCTAACAACGTTTTATTATTTAGAAAAACAGAGATTGAAGCTTACGTAAGAAGAGGGCTGGGGTTTAGGGAAATCTTATGTATCCTTACATGGGAGTAGGAGGGGTCAAAAATCGTCAAAATCATCCTTACGTAATTAATGAATGGCCCCTTAGTGTCCTTGTCCGCAGATATCTGGGGGGAGAAAAAAAAATCTGTATCCTTGTCCGAAAAAGTACTTCACTAGCAGGTACTAATCTCCCACAGAACCACATTTATAAACAAAACTAATGTTTATTTAAGTCACAGTAAGTAGAAATATAAGAATCTTAGTAAGCTACAATAAATATATCACCAGTGTAAAAATTACGATTAAAATCTCTTAGATAAATCACTATGAATGGTTTTCAGCCATTCTTTATGACACTTCAGCCATGAGTCTTGCTAGCCTATGTAATTTCAGTAGATTTGTGAGCCTGAATAGACTCAATAAGATAGCTAGCCTCGAGAATAGAGTTAGCCTCGATAATCTGACTAGCGTTAGTAACCAAGCTAGCTTCAATGGGACTAGGTGCGCGGGTAGCTTCAATGGGACTAGGTGCGCGGGTAGCTTCAATGAGACTAGGTGCGCGGGTAGCTTCAATGAGACTAGGTGCGCGGGTACCTTCAATGGGACTAGATGCGCGGGTAGCTTGAATGGGACTAGGACTAGGTGCGCGGGTAACTTTAATGGGACTAGGTGCGCGGGTAGCTTGAATGGGACTAGGTGCGCTGGTAACCTCAATAACCGAACTAGCCTTGCTGGTAGCCTCGGTAACCATTCCAGCCTCAATAGTCTCAACAGAATGAACGCGATTTTTTAAAAGTGCTATTTTTAACACACCAAACACTGAAACGGCTTCTTGCCGTTGTGATAATGCTTTTGTAAATCAACATTTATATGAACTACTAGCTGACCCGGCAAACGTTGTATTGCAAAACAAAACAAAATTAGGGATGGGTCACCCTTACCATTTAGGGGTATGAAAAATAGATGTTGGCCGATTCTCAGACATACCCGATGTGCACACAAAATTTCATGAGAATCGGTCAAGCCGTTTCGGAGGAGTACGGGAACGAACATTGTGACACGAGAATTTTATATATAAGATTTGTTATATAATTCACATTTAAATGGTTTTTCATCAGTGTGTATACGAATATGCTTACTTAAATTATCGTTACAATTGAAACGTATTTTACATACATGAACAGATTACGAGTATAAATAAAAGAATAAAAAAACCCCGACACACGATACGACGATCCCCGACATCTTAGATTTGAAATTTGATACCCATTTTGAATTGTGAAAAAAATTATAAGTGGCTATATTGTGGCGGCAGTCATCTTGTACCGATTTTCATCAAACATAGCTAAGAACACTCCCGACTAATTCACCTTTCAAACAAAAAAAAACAAACTCAAAATCGGTTCATCCGTTCGGGAGCTACGATGCCCCAGACAGACACACACATGCACGTCAAACTTATACTTTTACGTCGGGGGTTAAAAACACTCATACGGTAATTCACCAGTGTGTGTAAGAACGTATTTCTTTAAAGTACTCGTAAATGTAAAGCCTTTTTTGCATCGTTATACTGATATGGTTTATCACCGGTATGTATACGAATGTGCCTACTTATATGACACTTTCTGAAGAAACCTTTTTTACATACATCACACTGATATGGCTCTTCACCAGTGTGCACGCGAATGTGTTTCCTCAATATAATATTACTAATAAAACATTTCTGACATACATCACATTGATATGACTTATCATCTGTGTGTAACAATTTATGTCTTACCAATGAACTTTCATAGCTAAAATATTTTTGACATACTTCACACTGAAACGGCTTGACATCAGTATGATTGCGAACGTGTTTGTTTAAATCACTTTTACCATTAAAAGATTTCTTACATATGTCACATTTGTATGGTTTCTGACCAGTGTGTAAACGATAGTGTGTTTTTAAAGAACTTTTACAATTAAAGCGATTAAAACATATATCACACTGATATGACTTTTTATTTGTGTGTGTGAGACTATGTCTTTTTAAAAAGCTCTCACAATTAAAACATTTTTTACATACATCACACTGAAATGGTTTATCATCACTGTGTGTCAAAATATGTCTGTTCAAAGAACTATCGCAGGTAAAAGATTTTTGACATATTTCACACTGATATGGCTTCTCACCGGTGTGCATGCGGATGTGTTTCTTTAAATAACTATTTGTATTAAAATGATGTTTACATATATCACACTGATATGGTTTCTCTCCAGTGTGTATACGATTATGTTTGTTCAAATCACTGTTGGTACTAAAAGCTTTTTTACAAATATCACATTGATATGGCTTGACACCATTGTGTATGCGGATATGTTTATTTAAGTTACTCTTAGAATTAAACCGTTTACTACATAGGCCACAAGAGAACGGATTCTCACCAGTATGTGTACGAATATGTGTTTTTAAATAACCCTTTTGTTGAAATAATTTCATACATACATTACATTGATATGGCCTCTCGCCCGTGTGGATGAGAGTATGTTTAGTTAAAATATCCTTCCTGTTGAAACATTTATTACATACATCACATTTATATGGCCCACGGATACTTGAACAAAGATGGGTTTTTAAATAATATTGCCGGCTAAAACACTTATGGCAAGTAGAGCATGTATATGGCTTTTTCATGGTACAGGGTGTTTCTGAAATAACTTTTCTGTCCAACAGAGCGTCTGTTGGTGGAATAATCTTCAGTTTGTTTTTAGTTGTGTCTTCGTATCCCACCTGCGTAGTTGGACTAGTACTCTCAGGTACTGCGTCACCTAAAAAAATTGTGAACGTTAAAACAAAACTGATTCCGGGGGGGGGGCTTAAAAGGCGGGAACGAGATTCTTAAGTTTAATGTGTCCATGGGCGGCGGTAGTCGCTTACCATCAGGTACCCGTCTACTCTTTTGTCCTTCTCATAATAAACAGGTAATAATTAAAAAAAAAACAAAAATCCGACTACATAATGACAATTTTAAAGTAATGCACTAAAAAGATCGAAAAAACACGAGGTTTGACAAAAAGAGGGCCCAATTTTTACGCTATTAAAACAAATTTATTATTCCTTATTAAATTTAAATATTTACCATTTTAACTTATATTTATTGTATGCACCTTTTCATTTTTTATTTTATTTTGATACCCTACTCGTATACATTTTAATTAGTAGTTCCATGGTGTAATAGTAATGAAAGAACGACCTGTTGGTCTAGTGGTTAGTGACCCTGACTGCTAAGCCGGAGGTCGTGGGTTCGATTCCCACTCACCCACAAATATTGTGTGATGAGCACGCTCATTTGTTCTATGTCTGGGTGTAATTTATATATAATACGTATGTATTTAAAAATATATAAGTATGTTTATCAGCGGTCTGGTTACCATTGTACAGGCTCTGCCTAGTTTGGGATCAGATGGCCGTGTGAGATATATAACTTCTGAAACTAAAATATATGTATCGCGTGAGCCATCATGGGACAACGTCACGGGCCTAGTGAAATAGACAGGAGGGTTTGGTTATTTTTTTATTAACGCATTACTATTTTGCCCTAATAATCCACCATTTTGTTTTTTTTTCCTACCAAAATCCGTCTACACTTGGGTTTTTGAGACAGAAAAAACACTACCTTAACTGTCGAAATGCACACAGCCATTTGGAAGATAAGGGGTAATAAAGAAATGTACAAACAAATATACCAGACACGCGCAAAAAACATACGCAAATAAACTTACTTGTTTCATAATCGTCCGATTCATTTTTTATAATCTCTACAGATATGTGATCCTGAATGTGTTGATTAATGCTATCATCCTCTAGACTTTCCCTGGATACATCTGCAAAAATAAAGACAGAGTATTAAAGTGTGCAAAACAACAGCAATGCAAAAAGAAGGAAAACTTGACACAAACCCTATACCAACCCGTCTGGCCAGCGTAGTATAGTAGGCCGAAACCTCTTTTCTAAGGAGAGGCTTATGTCCAGCAGTGGACTAATAAGGGCTGTTGATGATGATGATTCTACACTTTTGTGTGATTCACAAATTATTGTTCTGAGTCTGGGTGTTTTTATGTCCATTTCATGTATGTTTGTAAAGACCCCTGTGACACAGGATATATTAAAGAAAGTGTGATCAAATTTAAGGACCATGATAAAATGTATGAATTTGAAACATTATGCACAAAATTGTAGAATGTTGCTTTTAATGCTGTGGCTATGCTATATTTTTAATTATATGTCTTCGGTTTAATTGCCGGAACGGAACCTATATAGGGTTTGTGTCAAGTTTTCCTTCTCATTGCAGTGCTGTTGTCCTGCGTAGTTTGCTCCCTTAGTCGGTACTTACGACACCCACGGGATGAATTGGGGTGGTGACACTCCGTATTCTTAATCCGTCACCACACGGACCAAGTAAGTAACATCAAGTACAGGGAAAAATCTGAAAACTACATTTGTAATTTAATCATAAAAATGTAGTCTTTATTTTATAATAAATGATATTATATTATATTGTTAGGTCGCAGTGGTAATTTAAATTAAAAAAAATAAAAACTGTATGACTTTGAATGATTAATTTAATACACTGGGAACATAATCATGGTAACTACGCTTATAACAGAATAAAGTTAATTATGCACTGAGTCTTACGAACACGATTCTCACAGAAAACCGGTGTTAAGCAATTCATTCGTTGCCTTTCACTGAGTGAGTGAGGTTACGGATAGACGGATCAAGAATACGCAATGTCACCACCCCATGGTGACATTGCGTATTCTTGATCCGTCTAAATCCACACGGAGAAGGATGATGATGATGGGAGTAAACAGTGAACTGACGAGTGATAGAGAATGGAAGAAGAAAACGAGTAGAATATATACTTACTTATCCAGACATTATCCGGTTCTCTCTTCACGAGACCAAGAGGTATTTCACCTTCCGAATCCGGGCATTTTGAATTTGCATCTATTTTGCCAACTTTTTGTGTTAAAGCTGCGTCATCTGCAAATATTATTTGATAACATTAGACAATGACTTCTCGAATGGTGGAGTGGTCACCTCGATGCTTCTTACTGCACTGAGTGTTGTGGGTTCGATATCCCCACACGGAAAAACACTTTGTGTGATCCACAAAGTGTGTCCGTTTCATGTATGTTTGTAAAGTCCCCGCGACAAAGGAGTCTTTTTGCGCGAGCTGTCTTTAACAAGAAAGACTACTCTCTGCAAAGAAACAGAGAGAGGGAATGCTTAACACCGGTGATTGTTTTTATTAAGATAATAATAAATGTTTACTTAATTCGAAAACATATTACAATAATGAATTACTGCAGCAGTGGCGTAGTGGTTTAAGCGGTCACCTCGCCGCTTCCTACTGCCCGGGGTGTTGTGGGTTCGATCCCCATATGAAATTGTGGAATTGTTGTTCTGATTCTGGGGTTCCTTGACACAACATTTATTCCTAGTGCGGGAGTTATCTTTAAAAAAATACAACAAAATATTACTGTTGCCAAACTGCACAGCTGTTTGTTGGCAGACGTTGCTCCCAAAATCAATTTTTGTTATTACACTTTGATATAATTTAACAATTAAATTACCCCTTAAGAAAAAAAAGGCACAAAATAAATTTACAAAAAAAATAACAATAATATACCGTACCTTCAGATGCTTCTGCCTCATACATAGAAGCCAGTGTTATAGGCGCTATACTAAACCCTTGATTACTGGAGCTTTCTTGTAATTGCACCTGTAAATAAAACAATTTTAAATGGAAGACAAAGTGTTTATACCCTACTCGATAGGTTTGACTATTATTTTTTTAAATAATGAACTTATTACTAATTTTTACTATTACAAAAAATCCGACATTTTGTTTTTATTCATTTATTTATTTTAAAGTTAATGCACATGTTGTACAAAGGCAGACTTAATGCCATTAGGCCTTCTGTCCCAGTCAACCTTCAGGTGATGTACAAATATGATGCGGTAGGTGCAAAATAAAATATTAAATTTAACATAATTTAGGTCCAGAGACATACACAATATATAAACACACATACATACATAAACCTAAATAAATTTAATTAAATATATTACATTTTAAAAAGCCATTATGGGTATTTGAGACGGATAACACAATACCTTAACTGTCAAAGTCTATCCAGCCATTTGGAAAATATAATAAAGAAATTTTAAACAAATGTACAACATAACCCTTCCTATGCAGTCCGGTAAAAATAATAACTCACCATATTGTTACCCAGCATCTGAGTAAACAGGGCCTCACTCCTCAGACACCTTTCCTTAAGCTGGTAACAGTTTTTGAGCCTTGCATAGCAGATGTAACAAACCTGAATTGGTCTGCCGTCTTCTGTCTCAAACTGAAATAAAAACGCCTTTTAAAATGTTAACAGTCGACGCCTGTCACCAGAGCACCATCAATTAGAATGCAAAATTATTTTTAACTGACTTCGAAAAGGAGGTTTTCTATTCGGATGTTTATATTTTTTTTATCTATGTTCGTGCATAACTTTGTCATGTATAGACGTATTTGCACAATTCTTCTTTTGTTCGAAAGTGGTTTTTTCCTAAATGGTCCCATTTAAATTTCATATAGATCTGATGATGAGTTTCGGAGACAGACAACGGAACTCTTTAAAAAATGACAGCAAACCAACTGTAATTACTGCTAGGTTTTTAGTGCTCTTTGTTAGTATTATTTAAAGTCAGTTTAACCTTTTTTTATAAAAGGTTAAACTGAATTATGATCACAAATTTTCATCTATTTTGTGAAAGAAAGAAAAACAATTATTTTGTGCTTATACAGATGATGTTCTCACATAGGTTCATCAACAGCCTGGGGAAATAGCCTTAGCAAGTAGTAGGAAGCGGTGCGGTGCCACTACGCCTTCTGTCAGCACTTTCACACAGCGATTACCTTTAATTACATGCAACCTGTCCGTGTGGTGACGGATTAAGAATACAGAGTATCACCACCTCTATTCATCCTGTGGGTGTTGTAAGAGGCGACTAAGGGAGCAAACTACGCAGGGCAATAGCACTGCAGAGAGAAGGAAAACTTGACACAAACCAAGTAGTTGGCCAAAACCTCCTTTCTGAGGAGAGGCCTATGTCTAGCAGTGGACTTAAAGGCTGTTGATGTGATGTGATGATGATTGATACTCATTTCTCTTGAAGCGAGTACAGCTAGTAAATATATATATATACATACATAAACACACATTTACTGTAATTAAAGAGAAACAAAACAGATAGAAAACTACTTACTGGCATCGTCGTTAAAGCTTCGTAAAATTTGTGAAGATGTGTTGTTCCAATTAAATGCATACGTACATCTTGGGCGAGACATATTCTGCACATCGACAGCTTTTCCATATTTATTTATTCGACAGTTCAATCATACGCTAAGGAATATAGTGTTATTATAGATTTGTACCACTTGGGGCAATAATAGAGAGGGTATGGAGGATACATTTAAATAAAAATCTATATTAAATATTATTATTATCTGAAAACTTATGTAGTTTACAGGCGCTTTACACACTATTTGTTTAATTAATTAATCAATAAATTGGTCAAAACTTATATCTGTCAAATTGCCAGTGTTGCCAACTGTTTAAAAACGTTCCCCCTAAAGCAATTTTAAAAACCACCAAATTTGCTCCAAAACTCCCCAAGTGTTTATTCATTGCAATATAATATACATACCATATATTAAAATTGGAATCATTTAATCTGATTAATTTGTTTAAAATACAAATTAATTTTTATCCCTTAAAATACTGCAACAAATTTAACCCCTCTTAAAAACTGCCCTTATAGATTTTTTCCTCCTAAATTTGGGGAGAAAACCCCGGCGTTGGCATCACTAACAATTAGCGACTTTAGTGACGTTACGTTTAGTAGATTCACCAATACTATTTTGCGTTGTAAGCACGTTCGGATTTAGTATAATACATTTGATACCTAAAATAACATGGCGTAAATAAAGGATAACCTGCATCTACCGATGAGCCTGTTAGTGGGCTATTCGAATATGTTTTTCATTTTTCTTCAATGTCGGCCTGGTCTTAGATTTTTTTTTTAAACAAATCCAAACACCTAAAAGTAAAGGCGAGATATGCGCAAGAAACGATAGTAAAAATAGGGCTGGCAGGATTACTGCAAGTATCAAACCTGTTTTCGTTGCCTATGAGAACAATGACCACTTGTTTGTGTTAACTTAATAATTTAGTAATTTAAAAATAAACATGGTCATCAAGAACTTGTGTAATTATTTTCCGGAAATATTGCGATTTTTAATAAATATTTTACCATTTCAGATTTTGCTAGTTTGTCAACTTTTTTCGCTCTAGGTAGCGTACAAAGTTAACAAACTAAATAATCAATGAGACTTTTTGTCATTTCATGTTAATTTTTCTGGAATATTAGATAATAATAATATTTATTTGCTGATCAAGGGTATACAGTGGTGTCAACATTACATTTGATATCGTTCTCCTTAATCTACCTTAACTGGCATGCAAATTGTATAATAATAAGTTTTTTAAATAGGTACATGCATCAACGTAAAATTGGTATACGAGTACTGGAGGCGATGAAGTTGTTAGTATCGAAAATAAGCAAGTGGACTGTATATTGTACTGGTCTATTATATTTAGAGGAAGTTTACAATGTTTAATATGATACAAATATTTTATATGAGCGCGCGACATACGCTTCGCCTCACGATCGTCCGAGGAGTGTCGGTGGGTGCGCGCGGCCCGCGCGTCTGCTGCTGATGTTATATATATGAATAAATATATACTTTATGTATAGGCGCGCCAGCGCACGCTGTGTCGTAGACAAGTACATTCATTAATTAAATTAGTTTATGAATAGCGGCATTAGAGGCACGAGTAGCAAAACCCTTTATTGTTACGGTAGTATAAACTCAGCTGTATTACAAAACAAAATCAGAACACAAAAATTGATTGAGGAACCACTTTTCATATGTTAATAAATTTAATATTATTATTTAGTAGTAAACTACAAATTGTTGTTTATGACAGGTGTTCATCAGTGGTGGTAGTCACTTTCCATCCTTATTATCCTTATGAGTACCGATCACACAATTCATTAACCTTAAGAACGCCAAGCCTTCGCTATTATATTTAATCGTTTTTATTTATTTACTAGCTGGGACCCACGGTGTTATAACCGCGGGCAACGCCGCGGGGCGAAGCTAGTCTAAAAGAAAGTAGCCTAAGTTACTCCTTATGTCATCAGCTATATGCCAGTGAAAGTCCCGTCGAAATCGGTCCAGTCGTTCCAAAGATTACACGGAACAAAGAGACAGACAGACAGAAAGACAAAAAATTTAAAAAATGTTATTTTGGCATATGTAACGTGTGAACATACATATGCATTTAGTAAAAAGCGGTTATTTTAATATTACAAACAGACACTCCAATTTTATTTATTTGTATAGATATAGATATAAAGTATGTAACGTGACTTTAACTATGTCAAGCAGTGTACTATTAAAGGCTGCTGATCGTAATGTTAAGAGATAGGTAGCCATTTATTTTCTGTTCTGTGGTTTGTAACATCTTTCGTCTTACTTTCTTTCAATCTGTGGTCCGGATCGATTTCGTAAAAAAAAAGAAACAGAAATATGTGACAGGAAGCAGCGGAAGCGCGCGATATTTGATTTTAAAATAAGCGTGCGAGCGATTCTTGTTGGCCGTCACTTTATTTACTCTGGCAATATATTTACATAGGGCCACCTGATGATGAGTAGCCGCCGACCATGGACAGTTACATCTTAACGAGATATAATTGCGTTGCGGCCTTTTCTTGGTTCGCTGTACCTACCTGTGGAACGCAACGAAAGAATTATTTTTCAGGATGTGGCCAAATATTATGCAGAATGATGAATGAGTGACAAAAAAGTGTGTGTGCAATTCACAGACGGCAGAAATACAAATAATTTATTAATGTTAATAAAATCAATCACACACATCATCATCACATCAACAGCCTTTTAACAGTTCACTACTGGACATAGGGCTCTCTTTAGAAAAGAGGTTTTGGCCTACTACACCACGCTGGCCAGATGGGTTGGTATTAGTGATGTGCCGGATATCCGAATCCGTATCCGCGGATATCCAAGGGAGAAGAGAGATCCGTAACCGTATCCGTATCCGTGACTTTTTTGGCGGATCTTTCAATACATATTACAAAGATGAAATTCTATATAGGTGATTTTGTATTCACTGTAAAACTCTTAGGTATGTGTTTGTAACACTATAAACAGCAACTTTTTTTTTGGCCAACTTTCGGTGTTAGTCCAGAAGAAAAGTTGTTGTTTTTAATTTTACTAACATGCACTTCAGAGGTTTTCAGTAAATTTAAAATAACCCTGAGTAATGGTTATTAGGTAGCTATGAAAAACTATTGAATTCTGTTCAGATTACTTTTTGGAACGAAGTTCCTTATCGCGCGTTGTGAAAGAAAAAATTCTAACTAGACGGAAAAAATTCGTACGAAAATTTGTCACGACACTTTTAATATAAATTGACGTCTAACTGTGGATACCATACATTAAATTTGCTTTAACGTTCGCCAACGTCCATACCTTGTTTAATACACCGGTTCTCGTCCGATCACCGAAGTTAAGCAACATCGGGCGTGGTTAGTACTTGGATGGGTGACCGCCTGGGAATACCACGTGATGTTGGCTTTTTGCTCTTTATTTTCGTGTCATCTTGTCAGACATTCAGCGCCATCTATCGAATAGATAGGAAATCATTTCGCAAGGAGATTTTACCAATGTATAAATTGTTTTAATTGTTTTTAATATGTAGGTAATAGCCGCTTTCATAGATGGCGTTGTAATTAAAATCGTGTCAAATCAGTTTTACGCGATCGTCACAACTTCGTTCCTATCGGGTGTCTCACGACACCACACGGCTTTTTTATTTCTTAAAACAAATATTATGCACCGTTGTATTGCAATCATTTATCGTACTACACTAAATCAACTAGGCAGGTCGTAGGTACTGAAAGAGCTATCTTTATAATGAGATCAATCAAACATCTTTGTATTAGCTTATTAAAATAATGAAATATTTAAATAACAACGGCAAAGCGTCAAGTGACGGCAACTATCAAGGTCACGGGCTCTGATTGAGTAAGAAACTTAAGATCCGTATCCATATCCGTATCCGCGGATCTTGACACCAAATATCCGTATTCGGATCCGTATCCGCGGATATACTTTGTTAACGATCCGGCACATCACTAGTTGGTATATGGTTTTCGTAATAAATTTAATTTTATATAACTTATATAGATAAAAATTAATGGTCAAATTAACACAGATATGTTAAATAATTAACATAAATTAATAAAAAAATTAAATACGTGAATGCAAGAAAATAAAACACGTGAATGATACACCACTTTGTTTATGACACATTTTCTGAAGGCTTCGTTGTACGCAGGCGCAAAGACACGTAATAGCATAGAGGAGACGAAGATCAGAGAAAACACTGTATACTTGTAATCTATCTCATTCTCTCACAGGCTAAATCCTATTTTTAAATATGTTTGTCTCTTTTTACTGTCGCTTTTTCGTTTCATTGAATTTTCAAATCACAACGGTGCTAAAGTAGTTTCACTTCAAAAATGACACTACTGATGACCTAATAATAACGGAACAAAAAAATAAAAAGAGAATTTCCAAAAATATATTTATTACATTAAAAATATTAAATAATACTTTTGTAGTGTGGTACAAAATAGAGGCAGTGGTCTTTGTGTCTTATGGTTTAAGGATTGACACAACCGTATTATTAAAATAGATTAAAATCGATGTACTTGGCAGCGTTAAATGTAAGTTATACCAATTCATACATTTTAAGCTTCAATATTCATAAAAATTAAGTTATAACAATAATATAAAACCAACAGGCTTAAACATAAAGAAATTAAAATAATTATAAATTAATAGTAACAACTCTTAAAGTTATTTAAAAAAAAAAACAGTATTCAAATACTACCCTACTTTAAAAAAGGTACTAAGTTAAAGTTAAAGTTATTATAGATAATTAGTTTTATACCTTAATATAAAAATTGTACCTTTATCAAAACTAAGTAAACGCTATTTTTAAACTTAAATCAAAAACCTTCATTAAAATGTATACTAAGGTACAAGTATCGCGTGAACATAAAAAATTGTTCTATCGCTATAATGAAACTAGATGCTATAAAATTCTAAAAGAAAATAAATTAAGATTGAATCACAAATCCATCATAAAGTATATAAAATAAACATTTTGTAGTAAAATTAAAAAGTATCGTATTAAAAAGTAATATTTCGGAAATCTGACACACAACGCCATCTAGTTTCAAACTAAGCGGAACTTGAACGATGAAAGCTAGATTCACTGATAGAATACTTCAATACTTTTTTGTTGTAAATACATACATGCTATACATAGAAAACGCCCCAAACCCCGAAACAAATATTTGCAGATCATACAAACATTTTCCCAAATAATACATCCCCAAAATACAGGCACTCCGCCTAGTTTGGTTAAGCAGCATCAGTACATGGCGTTTGGGTGTTTTTTATGTATGATATCTATGTATTTACAACAAAAAAGTATTGAAGTATTCTATCAGTATATTAGGTATTAATATAAGGTATATTAGTATTCTATATAGGTCATTCTAACTAACATAGTACAAGCTCTGCTTAGTTTAAAACTAGATGGCGTTGTGTGTAAAAATATTATTATTATATTTACGATGCAATTTAATACCATGCTGTATTTTTTTTAATGATGATAATAACTTTACACCGCTACCAAATTAAAAGTTAACTACATATTTTGTTGTTGTTAGTTGTAGATAGCTTAAGATTAGATTTATTAATTTCACGCATCCGCTACCGCTTGATACATTTTTCATTGTATTGGTTTGGCATATTCCAGTTTGTTCCTTTGAAGGGAAGCCTTCAAGCGGGGGGGGGGGATGGTTGCGCCGTTTAGATTGTACAAATACGTATTAGTTCCCGCGTAAGACATAGATGTCATAGAACTGTATTGTACCTATGTATGTATATATATTCCCGCTCCAATTCCTTCTTCGGACGCTCAATCGCTCGCCGCTAGCGCACCAGTCAAGCTCAGACCGCGCTATTAGACACCCGCTATTGGGTCGAACACGAAAAATACGTGGCCACGCGCGCGCGCACAAGTACGAGAATTCAGCAGTGAAAAACCGTGAGTAAAGCGTTTACCTATCTATCCTAATTCCTAACCTACTTAAATACAGTCTACTATATCGCGTAAATTTAGAACCAGCCGAGCAAAATTGTTCAACGCATCACCGTCATTTTTTTTTCTTATCCTTCGCGCCACCACGGCCAATTAATTACACCAAAACACAGAACAAAAATGATCGTGCTGATCACACAATTTGTCCTGGGTGGGAATCGAACCCACCACCTCCGGCTTAGCAGTCAGGATCAGTAACCACTAGACCAACAGGCCCGTCATACTGTTAACTATAACTATATATATATATAACACATACATATTAACATATTTAAGCGGCTGTAGCCTAGTGGTTAAGGCATTAGACTTGCGATCAATTGGTCGTGGGTTCGAATCCTGACCAGTACACTACCGACGTGAACCCACTCCACAAGCACACAAGCTACACAAGCAATTTAGCTCAGCGGGAGGGGTTAACGGGTATACTACTAATTTCGGATGTTAGGAAACCTTTAAAAAAAAGAAAAGAAAAAAACGATTTACAACGCGACCGAGCAGTAGTATTAAATATGTAGTATGTACATGATATCTATGCACAGTTATTTTATTTACAATACTTTTTTATCTTTGTATATACGAATTTGTTTATTTCAATTACTATTTTTGATTCCCGACGCAAGAGCGACAGGGTGTTATAAGTTTGACGTGTCTCTGTGTGTGTGTGTGTGTCTGTCTTTGCCATCGTAGCTCCCGAACGGATGAACCACTTTTGATTTTGTTTTTTTTTTTGTTTGAAACGTGAATTAGTCGGGAGTGTTCTTAGCTACTCCTATGTTTAATAAAAATCGAGCCGATCATAAAATGGGAAAATATATATTTTTTCAGAACTCCTTCAATATGGGTAATGAAAGAGCTTGACTAGTAGAATGCTATATACTATGACAAATTACAAATCCCAGATTTTTAAATTTTTTAAATTATGATTGAAACATTTCTTACATATACTACACTAATATGGTTTCTCACCAGTGTGTGTACGAATGTGTAGACTCAAATGAATACTTTGACTGAAACGCTTATTACATATATCACACTGATATGGTTTCTCACCAGTGTGTGTACGAAAGTGTAGACTTAAACTACTGCTTCGACTGAAACGCTTATTACACATATTGCACTGATATGGTTTCTCACCAGTGTGTGTACGAATGTGTCGACTCAAATCACTACTTGTACTGAAACGCTTATTACATATATTGCACTGATATGGTTTCTCACCAGTGTGTGTACGAATGTGTCGACTCAAATTACTACTTATACTAAAACGCTTATTACATATATCACACTGATATGGTTTCTCACCAGTGTGTCTACGAATGTGTAGACTCAAATGACTACTTATACTAAAACGCTTATTACATGTATCACACTGATATGGTTTCTTACCAGTGTGTGTACGAATGTGTAGACTCAAACTACTGCTTTGACTGAAACGCTTATTACATATATCACACTGATATGGTTTCTCACCCGTGTGTGTACGAATATGTCTATCTAAATGCCCCTTTAGGATGAAACATTTATTACATTTAGTACACTGATATGGGTTTTCACCAGTGTGTATACGAAGATGCTGTCCTAAATATGTTTTGCTACTAAAACATTTTCGACAACTATCGCATGAATATGGTTTAACCTTTATGACCGAATTACTTACATTTACACTAAAATTGCTTTGAGATATTTCTTTTTTAGTATCATTGTGGTCAGATTTGTTATTATTTTTATTAATATTAACTAAATTTAAATCACGAGCTTCTTCAGCTTTATCTGCAAGGTCTAATTTAGGTTTTTTAACATTAAGGTTCAAATTGATTTTACTTTGAGATATTTGTTTTGCAATAATGTCATTATTGTCAGAAATATCACTTAACTTATGTAAACTACACTTTGTTTTATCTGACTGAGTGTTTAATGTATCATTTTCAACAGGGGCTATTTTAGTGTCCTTTTTCGATTTTTCAAACTTGGTCTTTGTTTTTCCACATTTATTATGATTGCTTGAAATTATGTTTTCAGTTTTTGGCTCCGTGGGTGGTGTGGGTTTCTTTGGAACAGGAGCGCCTGAATCAGGTAGGAATAAGATAGGAATGTCAGAAATATTATCTACACATATTTAAAAAGATTTTTTGTTATACTGTAAGAAAAAAACATACCAAATTTGCTAGCATATCCCTTGGGTGCGTTGTAAGCTCCAAGGTTGACATGCAATATGTTGGCGAACTCACTGCCGTAGAACACGAGCAGCTCCGTGAAACGAGGGATTATTTTAATCGTTCTGAAACATTAAGTATTCTATTTTAAATATCCCTGCAATTTAAAAAGACACTTGCGTTAGATATACTAACAAATAAGAATAAAGAAAAGGAAAACTTGACACAAACCCTATACCAACTCGTCTGGCGAGAGTGGTATAGAAGGCCAAAGGCACCTTTCTGAGAAGAGGCCTATGTCCAGCAGTGAACAACTAAAGGCTGTTGATGACGAACAGAAAACAAAAATATTTGAAATTTTTATTTTGATCTTACCATCATAGCTTCGGTAAGACAAAGGCATGTTATAAAAATTACAACTCAAATATTTAAAAACCTAAGGGATTTAAAATTTCCATCTACAAACAGAAACAAATCTTGTATAAAATTCTCGTGTCATAATGTTCCATACTCCTCCGAAACGGCTGGACCTATTTTTATGAAATTTTGTGTGCACATCGGGTAGGTTTGAGAATCGGCCAACATCTATTTTTCATACCCTTATTTTTTATTTTTTTTGAAAAAATGTATATGGCAAAACAACGTTTGCCGGGTCAGCTAGTACTTCTGTAAAGTTTAGCTTCATATAAAATAATTAAATGAAATTTATTGAAAAAATGATAAAAAATTGCTCTTATACTTGTACGGTATACTGATCGGCGCTTATGCTAATTATAATCGTTATTGCGTAGTTCTGGCTCAGTAGTTTCCACTTAGTTTGGTCTATCTTCACTAGATGGCGTTAATTTACAGTAAGAATTATTTAAGATTATTAAGAAAAGAGGTTACCTATAGTACAATTGCCCTTGGTACTGGTAAGCAACAAGGTTCTGCTCACTCCAGTGCCGTGAACAGTTCACATATCGCATCCAGTTGGAGCGATTTGCGTCAGCCGCGTCCACTACATGAGATCGTTTGTTATTACGGTCATATATCTGTCATTAAAAAAAATTACAAATTAGGTACATACCTAAAATAATGTTTTTTTAATAATTTAAATAATGTCTCCAAATTCATATGACTTTTCCAGTACTAGACGGCACAATATTATCCTAATTCCGTTTAAAAGAAAAGTGTTTAGTACTCTTTTCTGTCAGCGAACCGATGTTTTTAGTTTAGATAAGGTTTATTGTTGTGTTTCTTACCAACCTTACTTCATCGTTGAAAGAGCTTATTGCCGTAAGTAATAATTTAATAAATTATGGTGATCTTTTGAAAACTGTCCTGCATGGTTATTGTGTGCCACCATGCTCAATTGGAGGATAAAGTTCTTGTTTGATCACGGGACCAATAGTATGTACTTACAATTGGAAGGTAGGAACAATTTTGGTGGTTGGTAAAAATTATAAACTAAACTAAAGTTCAGCGATCTGAGTAAAGCTGTTTATTTGATAAAAAAACAATTGAGTTATTAATTATATTACCTGCCAACAATACATTGAGTCCACTGAGTCGGTACGCAGGCCGCGATACGGACCGAAGCGAACGCCGCGAGGCAATGTTAGCGTACTGAACACTCCTATGCCCGCTCCTAAAACATAATTACACATCGTTTTTGCATCGCAGGTAAGTGCTATGTAAGCAAACAAGCATACCAGTAAATCTACTTTAATTTTATAAATGCAAAAGTAAAAGACCTTTGTAAGCTAAAATAAGTTCGATGAATTTAAGAAAAAGGGGACCTAGAACGACAGAGGCTACTTTTTTGGGCGTCGCTGGTCACATCAGGCGACGACTTGTCTGCTGGTTTGCTCTCCCATAGCATAAAAGAAACAGAAACAGTTTTTTTTCTGCCGAAAAATTCATATTTTTGAAGTAAAACTTCTTTACGTAAGCTTGACTAGGGGAGTAAGGTAGTGAATGCGTGACGAGAGCGTTACGAAAAGTGTGATCGGCGAGGCCAACGGAAGTTGAGAGGGAGATATAAGTTAGTAATAGAAAGAGGGAGATTTACGTTTCTTATATTACGGTAGAGGCAAGAGAGAGAGAGGCGCGAGCACGCATTTTCTTTCTCTCATTTCTTTAAAAAAGTTTTACTTCAGCTGTGTGGTCTCAAGCAAACTCGTTTTTTTTTATAATTTTCCATTTGTTTGGTTAAAAATGATATCACAATAAGTAAACGGTGTCAAAACCTGCAATGTAATTAATCAAACAACCTCCCAGGTCCTCCCCCCCGCCCGCCAAGTTAAGTTAGTGTGCGTAGACTGAATGTACGGAATACAAATGTAGTTATAACTTTTGTGCGACACCTACGGGGAATGACCTTAACCCTTGACAGCTGATTGCATAAGGCGTTTAATTTTCCAATGATTTTTGACTGTGAATGATAGTCTGAATACACTTTTTCAGTATTCGTTACGACGTCCCTTACATGTATTGCCTTATATCTATGTTGCACGTAAATGCACAACCTTTGTTTATATTAAATATAGTTATATTTTAACCACTTAACTCTCGTAAGTGTCGCGAGTTGAATGGTTTTCTCCCATCTCAAAAAATACATTATTTTGTTTGTTGTTCAATAATGCCCAACGCGCCTAAAGAAGTTTTCACTTCAAAAAAACAAAACAATATAATTGTATAACGAAAAAAATGTTGAGATAGATGAAAAACGTATGTTTATGGGAAATAACGCGCTCAGGTTAGTCCCGTAAATTTAATTATTTAGAGAATACATTAGTTTAAAAGTTAGGATGTGACATAGGACTAGGATGGACGAGATGCCTTCTGCGAGCACGTTATGCTAAGTAGCTGGCCGAGCGGGAAAGGGAGAGGTTTAGATATCACCTGGCCAGCCAGACGCCGGAGGTCGCAGAACGACCTCCGTTCACCATAAGCGCAGGCCTGAGGGCGGTGGTCCGTGTGGTGACGGAGTCCGTGTGGTGACGGATTAAGAATACGGAATGTCACTACCCCCATTCATCCCGTGGGTGTCGTAAGAGCCGACTAAGGGCGCAAAACAACGCAGGACACCAGCACTGCAAAAAGACGGAAAACTTGACACAAACCCTATACCAACCCGTCTGGCCAGCGTGGTATAGTAGGCCAAAACCTCCTTTCTAAGGAGAGGCCTATGTCCAGCAGTGGACTATTAAAGGCTGTTGATGTGATGTGATGTGATGTGAGGGCGGTAGGTAAGGCCATTTGTCACCCTAGCAGAAACAGGCCGGGGTGATGGCGAGACGCGCTGCGGAGTCGGCTCGCCCCTTCGGGAGCCCAAAGGGGACAAAGAGGTGCCCACACAGGAGGGGGTCATCTACACGCTGTAGATAGCCAGAGGTACGTAGGGGGTATCAGGGATTACCGTAAACCTGGTACCCGAGACGGCGTGCGGTTTTTCGAGTTTTCGAGTCCGACATAACCACCGGTGGGTGGATCCGAGGGGATTTCCGCACAGAAAAAGAAAAAAGGATGGACAATATGATGAACGAGTACATTAGAAGAAAGTAGTGAATGAGAAGTTGTGGAGCAATGAATTAATTTTTACTATTTATAGGCCTCATAGGTAAATAATCATGTATTTAACCAGCTGTGCCCCGCCATGCTTCGCTGTGGTATATTGTGGAACAAAACTAAAGCGAAAAATATATAAAAACAATATTTGAAGAGGTTTGTATATCATGTCCATAATTTTGAGTCCATTCGGCAGAACTTTTTGAGTTATTGAAGCGTAGATGAACCAATTTAAAATGAATATATAGATAGATATGGAAATGAACTTTATTGCTCTAATTTTTAAAGTATCTTGTGCTTCTGCTCCCAGAAATACGGTTACACAGATACCTTAATTCCTATGGTGGCAAAGCAATTGGTTCTGTCACAACGCATGAAAAGTAAATTACCACATTTTATGAACATTTATTTATTTTTATTTATTTATTTATACTTTATGCACAAATGTGACACAGGCGGACTTAATGCCGTAGGCATTTTCTACCAGTCGACCTTAGGGCGATGCAGAGTTAAAAAAAATGGTAGATGCACAGAAATTCAAAATGTGATTTAAAAGAAAAAAAATATAGTATAAATAGAATATCATATGCACAGGGAACTTAAATAAATTGCATTAGAATATATTTTAATAAAAGAGATACACACAATACATAAGTATTTATGTTTACATAATAATATACATTTATACATACATAAAATTATACATATTATATATATTATAAATATATACATATACATATATATATATATATATATATACATACACACAATAAATTCTAGAAGAGAGAGGCATCAAGGTAGATCTGCTAAGGAGTTTAAGAGATGTTTCCGCAACAGGTATTTAAAAGTTTGCCGAGTTTTTGCCATCCTAATCTCGCGAGGCAGTGCGTTCCATAACAGGACGGATTGTACCAGAAAGGTAGAATGTACGAAGTCAGAGCGGTGAGTGGGACAGTGAAGAAGGAGGTTGCTTGAAGATTTAAGGTTTTTATCATGGTTTGCCCCTAAATATTGAAGTTGAGTAGTTAAGTAGGAAGGAGAACTAGGAGACAAAAGTAAAGTATATAGGGTAGTTAATGCCCGTGTCTCTCTGCGTTGGCGAATTGGAAGCCACCCCAAATGGGAGCGATGCTGAGACACGTGATCATATTTGCGTAAATTGAAAACGAATCGAATGCAATTGTTGAGAAGGCGGTCTAGCTTATTGAGCAGATCTGCATTCAGGTCAAAGTAGCACACATCACCATAGTCGATTATAGGGATTATAAGGGTCTGGGCAAGCATTACTTTAGCATTTAAAGTGCAATGTGATCAGTATAAATTCCTGTAAATTCGATTTCCGTTTTGATTCGTAAATTTAAGTGGATTGTGAAACCTCGGAACAACGTTACGAATAAAGCAATACATACCTGGTATGATGGATCGTGCTAGGTGTAGGAACACATGCGGGATGGTGAGTGCGGCGCGTGGGACAAAGCTTGGGAAGTTGGGTTTGGAAGGTACCTAGGAATACATTAGTACATAACAACATAAAGCCTTTCAAACTGATTAATGATAGAAATTGATATTTTATTTATCGCATCTATCATCATCATGGTGCCATCCTCAAAATGAAGTTTGGAGGTCAGCAGACGGTACACCTCTCGATCAAGAGCGGCCTCCTTTAGTTGGCGATATCGCAGTCCGGTCCAGGCCACGATGTCATTTATCCACTTCCTTCGTGGTCGACCTGGTGTCCTCCTGCCTGGTATTTTTCCTTCTAACAGAAGCATCAGGAATTCATGTTGCGGGCCCCTTTGTATGTGTCCAAAGAAGGCCACCTTCCTTTTCGCTATAACAGCCATCAGTTCTCTCCTGCACTTGGCTCGCTCCAGCACCTCTAGGTTGGATGTAAAACTAGTCCACATACATATAAATTATCGCATCTATACTCTATACAAATAAATAAAATTGGAGTGTCTGTTTGTAATATTAAAAAACCGCTTTTTACTAAATGCATATGTATGTTTACACGGTACATATGCCAAAATAACATTTTTTACAATTTTTGTCTGTCTGTCTGTCTGTTTGTTCCGGGTAATCTCTGGAACGGCTGGACCGATTTCGACGGGACTTTCACTGGCAGATGGCTGATGACATAAGGGGTAACTTAGGCTACTTTTTTTAGACTAGCTTCGCCCCTCGGCGTTGCCCGCGGTTATAACAACAAACGCGGGTAACACCGCGGGTCTCAGCTAGTAACAAATAAAAAGGAAAATAAAACGCAGATTTTTTTTACTCTTTATTCAAGTAGAACACCACCTATGGTGTCCATATAAAGTAAGTAAAAGTTATCCATATTAGATACATGGTTACTAAAGCCGGTACGTAAAGCATATACTAGTACATATTTAAATTTGAAACGCACCAGTCCTATTATTAATGTTCCAAATATATACACATACTCATACAACAGCAAAACTAAGGGTGTCTTACGACTTTCCATTGAAGTATGTCAAATTAGGGGAGGGAGGGATGTTGGGGAGGGGGGAAGTGTTACTACCCCATCTTAAAAGGAAAAGTTGCGTGTGAAATCTTAAAAGGAAAAATTATCTCGAAAAGGGAAGGGCCTTTTCGAGATTATTTTAATTTTTAATTAACCCCCGGTAAGTAAAATCAGACCATCAGATCACACGAAATTTAAAAAAATCACGATTTTTGCAAAACTTGGTAAATTTATAACTTGCGTTCGGGAAGTGGTAGAAAGCTGAAATTTAGATATGTTATCAGTGTTGTAGTCTTATAACTACAATTAATTTTTAAGATCAAAATGTTGTAAATTTTTTGCAAACCGTCGAGTTTGCAAAAAGTGACCGTTTTTTTCAAGCATATCTAAATCAGCTCTCACGTCCCGAACGCGAGTTATTTACTTTACCAAGTTTTCTACAAAAAAAAAGGGTGATCTGATGGTACGATTTTGCTTTCCGGGAGTTTATTCTGTTTGTTTATTGCGTTGTTTATTGCGCACCTTTGTAACATTCAACTTTTTTTCGTAGCAGCTTCAATTTTCGTTCATGTTTTAAAAAAAATTTTTAGCACCTTAGCAATTAACTAAGAATCAATCATCATCATCAACAGCTTTTAATAGTCCACTGCTAGACATAGCTGACAATATTTTGTCATAATTTTTATTGCAATCAATTTCTGATAGTTTAATCTTTAATAAAATATGCTTTTCGCTCCAATAGGAATTTTCCAGTTTTGTCATTCTTTTTCCGCTAATTCTTCCTCTCTACAATAGGCTTTCCTTTTATGTAAATTTAACTAAAATTACAGTTAGATATACTGTCGTAGAAAATGTGTGTAGAAGTATGTAAATTTACCTTATCATCCGGAATGATCAACAGCGGTCCATGTATAGCGCAGTATTCAAACACATAGTCGGAGCACCGCTCACAGACTACGAAAACACAATATTTAAAAATCAATTTATTTGCAAACACAGGTTTTATTTATTTATTAGGCCACCAACGGCGAGTACACTATTACAATGTATTTATAAACATACGAATTTTAAAGTTAAGCATTACGCCACTTAAAGGTAGGCCACAGCATGGACCAACAAAAGTGCAATAACAATTTACAAAAAATAATGTGAACTTAAAAGTTATTATAAGACACTTACAAAACAAAGAGAAGCAAAATCAAATTGAAAAATAAAAAACTCTTATAAGCTTACATTTCTTGTATCTAATACAATTCTTTTGATTCGAGGCAAGGATGTAAAGTTAATATCTATTATATTGGCAACAGCAGGTACACTTATAAGTGGTACAAAATATAGATTTGTCTGCTGCATTTTACCACATTATTGGTGTGCAAATATTTATCTTTTCTGATAAATATCGGAAATATGTATCAGAAAAACAATAACTGTTCAAAATACACTTTGTGAGAAGAATAAGTTATAATACAATTATTATTTTAATTGTCAGTCATCTGAAATCGTCTCGTCTCAACTATAATTCCTTCCACATACATTTCAGGGTATTTTTAACACGCTTTTATTGGCTTAGTAGGTAGGTATGTAACGGAAACTTCGAATGTGATTTTGACCTACTTCGAAACTTCGAATTAAATTGAAACTTCGTACCCTTATCAAGGACCGATGATAATACAATAATTTGGTAAATTTAGCCGATTATCCTGATCAGGATATTCAGACTTAACGGCTTTTTCCATATCTAAAAATACGGTAGTGTCTTTTGTTACGTATACTAAGAGGCGTGTGCTGAAGCATATGTGAGATTCTTACCATCATCATCATCAACAGCCTATAATAGTCCACTGCTGGACATAGCCTCTCCTTAGAAAGGGGGCTTTGGCCTACTATACCACGCTGGCCAGACGGCTTGGTATAGGGTTTGTTTCAAGGTTTCCTTCTCTTTGCAGTGCTGTTGTCCTGCGTAGTTTGCTCCCTTGTGAGTGAGTGAGTAAGTGCTCCTGCGTGAGTTTCTTACTCATTACTTTTTTTAGTATTAATGAGAAAATAATCATCATTAATGACTAAAAAAAATTATAGTTTAAAAAACACGATTTTGTAATTTATTCGATTCGATGTAATTCGCGATCACTCCTTATAGGTATATTCAGGTTCTCATTTACGGTCACATATGAAACCTGCCACCTCTTTTGTATCCCCATGTATAAAAATATTAATTTATAGATTCTTAACAATAAATAAGAAAATAAAGTCTGTTAAACTTACATAGATATTCGTCTAAACTGGGCTCCTCCGGCTCGTAGTAACAAATGCGCGCCTTCTGACGCAGTTTCCGAGCTGACATCTACATGGGTAGGTATATTGATAAAATAAAAAAAATGAAAAATAAAAATATTTAAAAATGTTACAATTGTCAACAAGATGGCGGACGGTTTTCAAACACATGGCGAAAACAATTAACATATTTTTTAAAGATGTCCATATTATAAATGCGAAAATGAGTTACTTTGCACGTTTGTTACGATTTAGCGCTTAAATTTTATATCATCTTTATTCTTTACGAGACACTTCGTCTATACCTATGGTTATTAATATACACGGTTCGAACGGTATAGAGATTGGCACCTAGCTTTGCAAATAAATATAGACGGCAGACGCTATAGCTATAATAAGAGCCGAGATGACTTTTCCAACGCGCTTATTACAAATTAATATGAAATATAAGTACCTATGCAATAGGTATTATATTATTTCCCGCCATTATATGTCACGTTTTGAGCTAAATTCGTTTTTCGTAATTCGTTTAAAATCAAAAGTATTTCGAAATAACAATACGTGTAACACAATGTCAAGGTTTTCTCTTGAGTTAAAAGTACACTAGCAAAGTATTTACTACTCCGTTTTGGTTTAGACAACTATAAGTAAATTTGTTTAGCCTAAAATGTTTAGTGCCCATGAAATTATTTTCATGTTATCTTACAATAATTGAGTATAACGAAAAAAAATACCGTAAAAAGCAAAACCACTGCGCGCCAAAACCATCCACTTCGGCCAAACACACTTCAGTTGTTATTATTGGGCATTAGGAAAAAATAACTGATAGACTGATGGATGAACAGTAATAAATCGAATATAGTCATTTTCCCGCCTTAAATTCAAAAATCTTAGTGCACTTTTGCCGCGTCTTCTCTGTCTTGTCTATGATTTGAATACGAGTCTTTTTATTTCACTTCTAACTTTGAGTTTAGTATGTTTTTTAACAAAAGTGTATTTAAATGGATATTATTCAGTCGGTTATGTCTTGCATCGTCTAATATTGAAAAAATAGTAACTAAAATTATCATCTCCACTTTCGATTATAAGACTCAAACAAATATGGACCTGTAAACTTTAGAAATAAAAAAGTCATTACGTAATAATAAATATTTTATTTTGAAACCCTTTAAATAGCGCAGCAATTAATCATGTAATGTTCTGTGAATAATATAATATTTTGCTAAATCTAGTTCATAATATACATAATACATAGTTTCATAATTACTTCAATCATTCGTTTCTGCACTAACCAGGGTTTCTACTGCATCCCCGCCATCCGGCTGAAATAATGTAAATTATTTTAAATTGTAATCGAAAATATAACACTACAAATATCAACAATAAGAAACTTAATTTGGAATTTCATAAGAATATGTTTTCGGTATTAAAACCATTATAATTAAGTCTTTATTTAGATGGGTCTTGAACTTTTGAGACCTGGTTATTATTACGTATTGTAACTACATTATATTCTGTTTTTTACTTACTTGCATATCAGCAACCGTCAGCGGAGGGTCATCTTCGCGCAAGACAGTTTCACCGTCCAGTTTTTTCAAGTTAGGTAACCGCCTTGCAGCTTCAGATCTCCATGCATCTAACTCACATGCGTCATACAGGGGATTCCCTACAAATAGTAGATCTTCTAGATGTGGTAGCTCCTAGATTAACAGAGAATATATTTGCCTGTTATTAATAATAAACCTGGATATTTTTGGTTCTACTACAGTTGGAACTCTAAAATTGTATTCGATTCGACTCTAAACTTGGGAAATAACGTCCACACACATGAGTGAAACTGCAAAGGAACTGCATGATGTACATTTATAACTTTTTTCTTATGGAAGAGGGGGCAGACAAGCAGACGGGTCACCTAATGGAAACTAACTAACACTGCCCATGAAAGTCTACAACTCAGGAGTCGTAAACGTGTTGCCACCCTTTTAGGAACTACGCTCTTTTTTTTCATAATTAACAAATATCAACAGTAGGAAGTAGAAGTAAGATAAACAATACATAACCATTCCACTTTTTTTCATCTTTGATTAAAAAAGACAGAATAACACTCACCTGAAGTTTATTAAATTCACTCCATTCTTTCACAAGATTGTTGCTCATATATAACACTTTCAAGTTTTTCAATACATTGATGCCTTTCAATTTTTCTAGTAGATTATAGGATATCCATAACTCTTCTAAAGTGTCTCCAAGGCATTCCTAAATATATAAATATAAAATATCTAGCTCATTACTAAATCTATGACTAACTAAGTACAAAAATATGTAAAAAAAAAGTTTAGAAGCATTACGTTGTAGACCATAGAAGTGGTCGATTCAATTTGTTGTTCAAATACTGTTTTACAGAATAGAATCATTGAATTTGGACAACTTACGGGGAAAAGTTAACCTAATAAGAGCTAACCACTAAAATTTTGCTATATTTTTGTGTTAAAATATGTGACTAAACGCAAAAAAATTAAAGCAACAGTTATAAACCAATATTCTAAATTCTTAATCATCTATCGAGTTTTTGTTACGATACGCTTGGTTTATTTAATAGCTTACCATTCCAGAAAACGATTTTATATAATTTCGGCCGAGGGATAAAACTCTAATTTTTTTTAGACTATTCAATCCTGCTACTTTTTCGATCATATTTGTTGACAAACTTAATTTTCTGGAAATAAAAAAAAGTAAAATTTAAACCTATTAACTAAAACTAAAAAGGACTATTCTTTCAAAAAAGCAAAATTTGTATGTAAATGCATAACAATTTAACATTTATACATGCATGTCTATAGACGGACTCTTATATAATTATCTCTGCTGTTATGTTAATGCACGATTTGTTCATTTTAGAACACTTACTCGCAGTTTGTCAAACAAGCCAAAGAGTTATCCATTTTTTCAATTGGGGGCCATTGAAATATTAAACTAACTTCAGTAGCAGTTGCTGCCTGTTGACCAGACTTTTCCTCCCATCTTTTTATGGCTTCTTTTATAGTCATAGCTTTTGGTGTAGCCATTTTAAGCAACTAAATGTTTAAAATAACTAAAATTTGCTTGACAACTCAATTATCGACAAAACAGAAACTCATAACTATTTATGTTTAATCGAGTACCTAATTAAACAAGAACATTTGAACATATAATTTATAAATATTATTTTTAATTTTATTTAACTTATTTATATATTATTATATAACTAAAATTTGGATCTCATTCCGTGTGCATAATGCCATGAATACAAGTCTTTTGGATAATGTTGCTATACTAGAAAATGGAACTATTTATCAAAGTCTATGCTCGTAAGACGTAAATATATGACACGAAAGGGCGTCGCCAAATATAATTAAAACCACACCTTGTTGAGATTTATGTAAATTTAGAGAATATTGTGTTATTTTCAGGGCATTTATACTATTTATTTCCTTCTGGTCATTTGTGGTAAGCGTGACTGTTTTGACATTTCATAATCGCCATATTTTTATTTTTTCTTTTTCTGACTTCTTTTTTTTAATTAAAAAAAACAAACGCCAATCTATTCTCAGCAGGGTGAAAAATCGAATTCTTATTTGTAAATATTTCAATATTATTTTGCATTTTCTTCAATAAGTGCCTTTTTTGATATTAATGATGATCTCTTAAATTTATTAACACAAGTCTGGATAACTACAGCAGCTGTGAATCACATCATCTTGTAACTTTTTTCAGAGCTCAACGCCATAGTCTAAGGTTTTCTTTTTATAAAAAGTTATTTTTGACAATTTTATATTCCCGCTTTTTCGTTTCTATTTGAATTTATCTGCATGTATTAATTTTTAATAATTATTATGTATTTTGTGTTTTTACTATGATTTTCTTCATGTCACTTCTTTGAACTCATGGTAAACAACAACAAATTGTTGTCTTTTATTTAAATTGCTAATTATTTTTGTCATGTAATATTGTCGATTTATTCATTACGAAGTATCATATAGATCCTAGCTATAATTTCAAGAAATTTCTAAATCTATTTATGAAGCCCCAAGTTACGTAATAAGAAAACGATATGTAATATGTAAATAGGTAATCAATAGTGTTTATAAGATTTTTAACATGTTTTCACAGATACTTTCATAAACATGTCGGACACTCAAGAGAGATTTGTTAATGTTATACCCACTGCTCGAATAAAGGTAAGTGGTTTTCTGTACAACACTTTATATCATAACTTAGGAACCCTCAAGTGGAACTCATGACTTGTCTAAGATATTACATTAACTCATTAAAAACTAAGCAAATAATTTTGTAAGCAAAATGTTTATGTTGCCTGCCTTTAATTTTGTAAGCAAAATATAAACAATATTTGATAAATAAATAAATTTGCCTATGTTCTTTATAAACTATCAAAAATACTAAGCCTAGAATCCGTACTAATGGCCTATCACGGTTACGCTGCATCAACACTGAGATATGGCGTAATATACTGGGGCAATTCAGTTGATAGAGAACTTGTATTCAAAGCCCAAAAAAGATGTGTCAGAGCTATGTGTGGTCTAAAAAGCACCGACAGTTGTCGACCGTATTTCATATGTCTAAAAATTCTTACCTTGCCATCTCTGTACATATACGAAACAAATATGTTCGTGAAATCCAACATCTCATCATACAAACTAGCAACTAAAAGTTACTACAGAAAACTACGAGATAAAAATAAGTCGGAACTCCAAGTGACATATGGCAAAACTGCACTAATGAATAAAAGTACCTTCTGTATGGCCACCAAAATATTCAACAAATTACCTGAAAAAATTAAAACGCTAACTCTGGCCAATTTTAAAAGAGAAGTATTAAAAATCTTCATAAGTAAGTGCTATTACTCACTAAAGGACTATTTGGACGACAATTCTATAATTACTGCTTCAGAAAATTGTACAATACCTCGACTATCCTAATGATTTTGAATTGACATTAAATTAATTTGTTTGACATTTATTAAAATTGACTGTATTTTGTATTTATTTTGACATGCATGTGATTATTAATTATTATCATTGACGTTATTAACAATGTGGAAGTTTAAATAATCCTACAAATTTATGATATTTAAAATGTGTAAAAATGTGTATATTTGTACGCCCCTGGGCAAAACATAGAGGACTTGCCTATCCATAACATCTCACACTCTATTGTAATTTGACCTATGTTTACAAATAAATGATTCTGATTCTGATTCTGATAGATTATATACATTTGAAATCCTATACTATTGCTTTTCTGATATGGGGGCTATGTTATCACAACAGTGTGTTGTGGTTATACTCAGGTACAGGTTGATCATTTCATAAGCCATAGTCAATCATTTAAGCACCATTTGTTGCAGTCTCTCATTATTTATGGTTCGCAATCTGTAATACTCATTTGTAATACCCATTAGCCAGTTGTTTAATGTATTTAAAACTAAAATAACAAATGTTTTGTGTCCATTTACTTCAACCCCATACAAATGTTAATCTATACAAATATATAAAATTGAAGTGACTCTTTGGAATGTCAAAACAATTGTTTTTTTTTCATGAACACACAGTTATTTGCATGATACCTAAAAGTAAAAACAGTTTAAATATTTCTTGTCTGTCTGTTTGTTCTGGATAATCTTCAAAACAGTTAGACTGATTTTGATAATATTTTACACCAGGTAGCTGTCTATATAAGGAGTAAGTTAGGCTATTTGCAGTCCAAGAATCATCCTCATGGACAGCAGTCGCATACCATGTTAGACCATTTATTTTTCATGAATTCTGCAAATTGAACAAACATATGCAATCAAATTCCACATGAACAAAGGTACCCATAACTAAATACAATACCCTCCATAGGAAATTCATAGTTTTGAGAAGAGACGAAGGATGAAGGTAAACAGAGAGAAAGAAAATAAACGAGCCATAGTTCAAGCAAGTCAAGGTAGTATTGTAACAAAAATTTGCTTCAGTCAGAAGTTCCGAGCCCTTATCATCATCAACAGCCTTTAATAGTCCACTGCTGGACTTGGCCTCTTCTTAGAAAGGAGGTCTTGGCCTACTATACCACGCTGGCCAGACTGATTGCTATTCAAGTTGTTGTTGTGTTGTTTCAAGTTTTCCTGCTTATTGCAGTGCTGTTGTCCTGCCTAGTTTGCTCCCTTAGTTGGCTCTGGTGACACCCACCGGATGAATAATAATAATAATATATCTCACACACGGCCGTCTGATCCAAAACTAGGCAGAGCCTGTACTATGGTAACCAGACTGCTGATAAACATACATATATATTTTTAAATAGATACATATTTTAGATAAATTACACTCAGACACAACAAATAACCGTGCCATCGAACCCACGACCTCCGGTTTAGCAGCCAGGGTCACTAACCACTAGACCAACAGGCCCATCAATAGGTACTACACTCTATTCTTAATCCGTCACCAGAGAGCGAGCCCTCTAACCAAATTAAATATTAAAATCGATACATTTTTTTTTAATTATTTAATACTAGCTTTTGCCTGTGGCTTCGCCCGCATGTATGTCGGTTAAAAGTAGCCTATGTAACTCACTCATAATGTAGCTTTCCATTGGTAAAAGATTTTTTTCAATCGGTTTATTGGTTTAGGTTTGAAAGGATGACAAACAAACTTACTTAAACATTTATATAAGTACCAGCTGGAACCCGCGACTTCATACGCTTGGAATTTGAAAAGAGCTGCCATAGTGGGTTCAATTCCTGGACCAGGCAAAATTTATAGGGTTTTTGTAAAAGGAAAAAAAAGCCTAAGTTACTCCTTAAATAGACAGCTACCTGGTAGTAAAATGCTATCAAAATCGGTCCGTTTAGAAGATTATTCGGTACAAACAGACAGGCAGACAAAAAAAAATTAAACTGGCTTTAAGGCATAAAATTTTGACATTACAAACAGACTTTAGTTTTATTTATTTGTATAGATGTAAATGCGGAATGAATAGCTTGCGGATGGAAAAAATACTGGTCCCTAAAAGAAATAATGAAGAACAAAAACTTAGGTATGCATATAAAGAAAAAGGCCTTCAACACCTGCATCCTCCCGCGCATGACATACGGCTGCGAATCATGGGCGATAACAGACAAGCAAAGGGAAAATCTGGCTAGTACACAAAGGGCAATGGAAAGGAGCATGTTGGGACTCAGACTTAGTGATAAAATTAGAAATTCTGAAATAAGAAGAAAAACTAAAGTTGCAAATATAATAACTCGCATAGATCATTTAAAATGGGGTTGGACAGGACATATGCTACGTTCCAAAATAAATAAATGGAGCAAACAAGTCACCTTATGTTACCCATGAGGGGACTGTAGAAGAAAGGGACGTCCGAAAACTAGATGGAAAGACGATATCCACCTAACTTTGGGACCTTATTGGACTAGAGTAGCAGAGGATAGAGCTCAGTGGAGAGAGCTGGAGGAGGCCTATGCCAAGAGGCGCACCGAATTGCGAGACATAATATAACAAATAGAACTCGGAAATATGTATTGTCAAATCTGTAGCGAATTCAGAAGAAAAGGGCTTTATTATAAATGCTATACCAACCTGTCTGGCCAGCATAGTATAGTAGGCCAAATCCTCCTTTCTAAGGAGAAGCTTATGTCCAGCAGTGGACTATTAAGAAGTGCTATGCTACAGTTAGATATTGTCTTACCTTTATCCTTATTTTAATAATTGACTTCTAATTCCATTACAGAAAGAATATATTCCAGTGATAGAAAATGATGCTGTGCATTGTCGTTTGTGCCCCAAAGGGTTCGCAAGTGATGTGGCTCTCAGGAACCATGTCAAGATTGAGCATATTGATGCATATGCAACTGCTGATCCGACTATATGGACATTGAAAGAAGATGCGCCGGTAAGAGGATATATTTTAACATCCTACTATCCTACACTTTACACTACACACGTCCGTGTAGTGACGGATTAAGAATACGGAATGTCACCACCCCAATTCATCCCGTAGGTGTCTTAAGAGCCGACTAAGTAGTCTAGTCATTTAAGCTTAAATTAGGTAAGAATCTCGGAATTCGAGATACCCAGCTGTAAGTCTGTAAATACTTGTATATTAACACCCTAAAAGTTGTCTCAAAACCTACATATGGTAGGGTGTAAGCAACCATTAAATTTCAAGGTCAAAAGTCACAAAAATTTGGAAATATCTCATTTCCTATGTGTTTCTGGTATTTGTATTCATTTTCAATATTGTAGAATACAAAATTCTCTACAACTTTTATTTAAAAAAAATTTTATACGGTGAACCGTTGTCGAGATAGAGGGCGGAGAGCGCGCGGTCACAGCATCACTTCAGGTCAACCGGTGCCTCCGGTCGAAAACGCGCCATATATAGTTGATGAACTATCGATAAATCAATGATTATAAATAAAAATAGAGATAAGAATAGAGAGTGGAACTCAAACCTTATTGGCAGTCTATAATGTTCCGAAATCTGTGAAAAGTCTCGATCATCTTCGTTATATGCATTACGTCAAGTCTACAAAATTTAATAAACCTGTGCAGCTTTCAAATATTCCACCAACAAGTGCAGCTGTTCATCAACATTTCAACCGTGTATATTATCAAGTTCAAACTTGGTTAGGAAATGATTTGGAACTCCAGGTATGGGAGTGGAGATTGTGATTAGGCAAACATAGTGTTCGTGGTTCGTGGATGTGTCCTGGTGTGTGTTGTACTAAACCTACTGGCTTGGTATTCAAGATCACTAGGTGGTGATAGTTACTCACCAACAACGGAAGCGTCTGCTCATTTGGCCCCTACTCTTACAAAAATGGATGTTCTTAATACTTCTTAACTTTATTATTCCAGGTAAAAGTTGAAGTTAAAGAGGAAAATTTGATTCGCTTCAAGACAGAACAGGTTCTTTCTGAAATGGAACCTACCAGCGTCATGACGCTTGCTTCCAACGAAGTCAGCTACATCATCATCAAGGCAGAGGAGCATGAAGCCAAGAGGAAGAAAATAGAAAGAATTATTAAAAGGGAAAGAGAAGTGGAGAAACAAATTCTCGCTAAAAAAGAGAAAGAGTCTGAACCGATAACGTAAGTGACATCCATACTTCCTCATTTATTCATACTAATATTATAAATGCGAAAATGGGTCTGTCTGTCTGTTTGTTACCTCAAGCTTGAAGAACTGAATCGATTTAGGTGAAATTTTTGTATAGAGATTGAATTGTTTCAATCTCGGGAAAGGAGATAGGATAGTTTTTATCCCAGAAATAATCCTTTAGGGGGTGAAAAGTTCCGGGGTGGCGGCGAGCGCGTTGCAAAGCGCGCTCGCTTCCAGGGAGCACAGGGAATATGGGGTTCCCACACGGGGGGGGGTCGTCTACTCGTCTGTAGATGACCTGAGGTATGTCGGGGCACCAGGGACTTCCTTTCTAGGGTATACCTGGTTCCCCGGCTATTAGTACCCGAGACGGCGTGCGGTTTTAGTCGGTTCGAGTCCGACATGCCACCGACAGGTGGTATCCGAGGGGATATCCGCACGGAAAAAAAAAAAAGGGGGTGAAAAGTTGAGATGGAAGTTTGCATGGGGAATCAATAATCCTAAACCGATTTAGATGAAATTTGAAATGAAGAAACTTTGATTGTCTAGGAAGGAGATAGGATAGTTTTTATCCTAGAAATAATCCTTTAGGGGGTGAAAAGTTGAGGTGGAAGTTTGTATGGGGAATTAATACCTGCTAAATCAATTTAGATGAAATTTGGGGAAGGAGATAGGTTTGACGCGATATTCGATATTTACACCGTCGGAACCACTGGCAAAATCTAGTCTATATATATATAAGAGATTTCCACGTATATAGTCACTCATCACGATATCTCTGGAACCATTAGAGCTAAAGACTTGAAATTTGATAGGAATATTCTTTTCACCGAGTAGAGGTCAGCTAAGAACGGATTTTAAGAAATTTAAAAAAAAATTTTTTTTTAGCAAATCAACGTTTGCAGGGTCAGCTAGTATATTATAAACTATCTGACCCGCGCAACATCGTCTGCGTCTCTCAATAGTAATAAATTTTCTCCGTTTTTGAAACATTAATCATTGGTGCTCCGCTCCTATTGCTCTTAGCGTGATGATATATAGCCTATAGCCTTCCTCGATAAATGGGCTATCTAACACTGAAAGAATTTTTCAAATCGGACCAGTAGTTCCAGAGATTAGCGCGTTCAAACAAACAAACAAACAAACTCTTCAGCTTTATAATATTAGTATAGATTTGATAGTGAATTTGTTTGTTACACTTTCACGCCTTAACCACTAAACCCTTTTTAAAAATTATTTCACAATTTGAACGCTACATTATCAGCGAGTAACATAGACCACTTTTATAACCGACATCCACGCGACTAGAACCGCGGGCAAACGCTAGTATATAGTAATGTCGTAAAAAAAGAAACACACATTATAAATATACATTAGTTGTACTAATATTGCATATCTTTTTCAGGGGTCCCTTCGAATGTCTCCAACCATCGAACCTGGTCGCCGACGGCACTTGTCATCAGATCTTCTTCTCCTGCTGCGAGTACTCTATACACTACAGGGATGAACACACTCGTAGGAGAAAGGGGTTGCGGTGCCAGGTGTGTGAGAAGCCACTAGCTTGTACAGGAGAAGATCAACCTGCTCCCTATTCATGTGAGGTAAGGTATTATTTATATCCGTGTGGTGACGGACTGAGAATAAGGCTAGTCACTACCCCTATTCATCCCGTGGGTGTTGTAAGAGCCGACTCAGGGAGCACATTACGCAGGACAACACCACTGCAAAGAGAAGGAAAACTTGACACAAACCCTATACCAACCTGTCTGGCCAGCGTGGTTGACTAGGCCAAAACCTCCTTTGTAAGTAGAGGCCTGTGTCCAGCAGTGGACTATTATGGTCTGTTGATGATGAAGGTATTATGGTCACAGTCGTATAATTGAACCCTGGTTGGTTAAATTACTTAAGAAAAATCTGCATTATTTCTTATTTATATGAAATAACATGCACAAGTTGTACACCAATGCCCTGGGGATTAAGTCCACCTACACATTGGTGATGTGCAAGAGAAAACAGAAAGTTTGACTTTAGTAAAATAAAAAAAACCGGTCAGGTACGAGTCAAACTCGTGCGCCGAGGGTTCCGTACCTACCCAGATTTTACGTAGATTTTAGCGAAAATTTGTAAGTACCAAAATTTATCCTAATGTTCAACTGTTTTTATTTTTTGGAATTATTATTTTATTTGTGCTGTAAGACATTTCTTTTTTGCCAAATTTCGTGATTCTAGTACAACAGGAACTACCATACAGGTGTCGACCCAAAACCTATTGGTTCCGGTTGACCTAGAATTGACAATTTTGGTTAAAAGCAAGGTCTTACAGCACAGGTAAAGAGAAAATAAAAAAGCTCAAAATTAAGGTAAAGTTTGGTACTTACAAGTTTTCGCAAAAATCTAAATTTGCCCATATCTTTTTATCGTGTTTACTCAGGTTTCTTTTATCGTACGTACCTTGATTTTTATACACCTAATAGGGACCATAGACTTCAGTATTTGGTATAAATTTCAACTTGCTAGGTCTAGCCGTACCGTCCGTTAAAATCGGTGGTGACACACGGACAGACGGACAAGAAAGTGATCTTAAAAAGGTTTCTTTTTTATCTTTTTATCTTAAACAAAAAAAAAATACTAAATTAATTACTTCATTTTGATATTAGCAGATTTTGGATTTTATTTATATTATAAAAATAAATATAAATAATGTTTAAAATAAAAATATTTATTTATTAATATAATTAAACATATAATTATTTATTTTATATTTATTTATTGATATTAATGCGTCGGAGGTTAAAAAAACAAATATTACCAGTCCTAGACTCAGCGCCAGTTAAGCCAATATTGATTTCAGGTGTGTGGTATGGGGTACCAAACGAACAAAGAGCTCTCGGAACACACGGCCATAGCTCACGTCAAACTTAAGCCGTTCGAGTGCAATGTTTGCCACAAAAGGTTTACACAACATGTAAGTATAAATTATATTAGTACAGTACTTCTTTCTACCGGTCTAGTAGTTGGTTTCCTGGCAGAGGTTGTGAGTTCAATTCCCACCCAGGACAAATATTACTAAAAAATACAGATGTTAATATTGAAGTTACCGGAGCCCAAATCCCCCCTCCCTCTGACTCGAGCGGGATTGACTCCAAGGGCAGCAACGCACTTGTGACTTGTACTTGACTTGACTTGTGAGTTGCAAGTGTTCATGGGCGGCGGTAGTAGCTTACCATAAGGTGACACGTCTGCTCGTATATATATATTATGTGACGAGTGGTATTATTTGTTCAGTATTTGGGTATAATTTACCCATAATATAATATGTATGTACTTAGTAATATATAAGTATGTTTATAAGCGGTCTCCTGATCCTCAATTCTGCTATTTTAATATTGTATCATTGGACTAGTTTTGCACTTTTCTTATTCTACTAACTATGTAATAACAATCGCCTCCCGAAGACTTGTCACTGATATAATTTGGTAAATAGTACATTTTAATTTTGTAAGAAAATGATAATAGGTCTTTACCTACGAAATTGCTGTTTTGTCTGTTTGACTAAAAAGTTGTCTAAATTTTGGAAAAAGTAATAGTCGGTAGGTGCAAGGTCTGGTGAATATGGCGGATGAGGGAGAGCTTCCAACCCCAGCTCTTGCAGCTTGGAGACTGTCTGTTGCGCAGTATGGGGTCGCGCGTTGTCGTGAAGGAGCAGTGGGGACGACCGATTGACCAAAGCTGGTTGCAGATGTGACCACCAGACCTTGCACCTACCGACTATTACTTTTTCCAAAATTTAGACAACTTTTTAGTGGGTACAAAATTCAGTTCCCGACAGGCAGTACAAAATGCCTTTGAAGAGTTTGTTGCCTCCCGTCCAGCTGATTTTTACAAGAAGGGCATCAATAAACTGCCAATGCGTTGGCAAAGATGCGTCGATTGCATGGGTGATTACTTCGAATAACGGAAATAAAAAAGTTAGAAAAAATAAGTACTTTCAATTATTGCATACAAAACGGCAATTTCATAGGTACCTATTATATAAAATTTTCCAGGTTTATCAATGTTGTTGATATCATTATTGATGACCTATATTACTATATCGACAGTCTATTGACACTGAATTTATGTTAGTAGAATACCGATATTTTGACCGATGTCAATGGCATTTCAATAGCGAGTCAATGGAATGACAGTTGCTTAGCGTTAACAAAAACTAGCAGAATTGTGGCCCTGGTCAGGTGTTTCTGGTGAAGTTAGATTAATATTATTAATAATGAGTTTTTTTTTTGTTCATCTTTAATACAGCAATCTGTCTCTTTATCAGGACATTAAGCGATAGATTGGGCATAAATTGGAAGTCGTGTGCAGGGACGCGGCCAATGCCGTACCCTGTTCTAGTTATAATGTGCTCTTATCACAGCACATCCTGGGGGATTCTGATCTTTAGCCTACGGATTTTCAAACTGTTGTCCATAAGCGGTTGGGCCAATATATTTGGGTGGTTTGATGTTCTGTCCCTGTATGCCTTAGTGTGTCTAGTTATTTCCTCCCTGATTGTAGACATCTTCAGATCGTTGTGCAGTTGTTCGTTAGTCACAAACCATGGGGCACCGGTAACTATGCGCAGCATTTTGTTTTGAAAACGTTGTAAGATGTCTATGTTGGAGTGTGAGGCTGTTCCCCATAGTTGTATGCCGTACGTCCACACAGGTTTGAGGATGGCTTTATATACTAGAAGTTTGTTTTCCCTTGATAACTGGGATTTACAACCAATGAGCCAGTAAAGTTTTCTCAGCTGTAGACCAAGCTGTTATCTCTTGGTAAGAATGTGTTTCTTCCAGGTAAGACGTTTATCGAGGTACAGTCCAAGATACCGCACGTGCTCTGCCCGAGGGACTTCTACGTCATTCAACGTCACTGGTGGACAGTGCTCTCTTCGCAGGGTGAAAGTAACGTTGACCGACTTGCTTTCATTAGCTTTGATCCGCCATCTTTTTAGCCAGTCGGCTATGTTATTCAAACCTTCTTGTAGTAGTTTGGCTGCGATTTCTGGCTGACTATGGGTGGCCAAATAGCTGTGTCGTCAGCAAAAGTACCTGTTGTAATTTTTTCACTGGTGGGTAAATCCGAAGTGTAGAGCAGTTAGAGGATCGGACCAATTACACTTCCCTGTGGAACCCCCGCTAGGATGAGGCAAAGGCTTGTCATCTCGTTTCCACACTGAACCATAAAGTGACGATTAGTTATGAAAGCTTTGATCATACAAAACAGGTGATGGGGCATGGATTTTTTAATTTTGTAAAGCAAACCCTGGTGCCAGACCCGATCGAAGGCCTGCGAGATGTCCAAAAAGACGGCTCTACAGTATTTTTTGGCTTCATACGCTTTATGTATTTCGACTGTAAGTCTGTGAATTTGTTCGATAGTAGCATGCTTATGACGAAATCCAAACTGATGGTCTGGAACCAGATGTTTTGTTTTAATTATTGGTAACATGCGTAATTAGTAGTAATTATTGGTGCATTGGTAATAGGAGCGACTCGTAAACTTTCGAAGGAATCGGTAGTAGACTGATAGGTCTGTAGGATTTAGGATCTTCCAGAGCCTTGTCGGGCTTAGGGATCATTATTATTTTGGCTACTTTCCACTGTGGAGGGAAAAATCTGAGTCTTGTCATGCTGTTATAAATGGACGTGAGCATAGTCATTCCAGAGTCTGGCAGTTCGGTCAGCAGCCTACTAGTGATGAGATCGAAACCGGGGGCCTTCTTTGAGTCAATCTTTTTTATAGCCCGTACCACTTCATTTTTATTGAAATTGGGCATGTCGTCAACTATTTCTGCGCTTGAGTCTTCCTCCGCCAAGTAGTTAGATACCTCTCTTTCATGTTCGGGTGTACCTTTATTTGGATGGGGTTTGAAAACGGATTGTAGGTGGACAGAGAAAGTGTTTGCTTTTTCGGCATCAGTACGAGCCCATCTCCCGTCCTGTGCACGCAAGGCTGGGGAGACATTAGTAGGTCTTCTAATTTTCTTAGTAGCTTTCCACAGCGAGTAGTCTGATGATGCGGAGGCACCCAGACCGCTCAGATGCAATTGAAAGGCCAAATTACGATCTCGAGTGGTTGCATTCTTGAGTTTCCTGATGGCATGATTAAACAGCTTTTTCGCTTGTGGGCATTGTGATAGTTGCCACCGTTTCCTCAGTCTTCTCTTTTGTGCTACCAACTCTAGAAGGTGATGGGCTATGGGCAAATCTTCCCCAGTTTTTCCTGCTAATGGTGTGGAATCCCAAGCAGCATCTTGCAGAGACCTTGTAAAATGTTCGACTGCATAAATGATGTCATCCTCAGTCTTTAGTCTAGCTGGTTCAACCAATGCTGTATCAATTAAGTGCCGGAATAGTGACCAGTTTGTTCTACGATTGTGTAGATTGCACCTAGGTTCCTCCGCTGTTAAGGTGGTAGAAAGGTTAATAATAATTGGTGAGTGATCCGATGATAAGTCCAAACAGCTTTGGCAGGACAGATAATTTTTGGCTATTCCCTTAATTACGCAAACGTCGATGACATCTGGTATTTTCTTGGGATCTGTTGGCCAGTATGTGGGATGGCCTGATGAGAGAACATACATGTTGTTCATTTGGACGCATCTAAGTAGTTCACGACCGCGAGGTAGTATCAGCCTTGAACCCCAGTACGTGTGTTTGGCGTTGTAATCACCTCCAGCGACAAATCTCGGCCCCAAAAACGGAAATAATCAGCAAACTCAGTATTTTTGATGGTGTGTCTTGGTGGACAGTAGACGGCTGACAAAATTTATTTGTTGATTGAATCGGATACCACGATGGATGATGCTTGCAGATATTCCTTTGAGTAGGGTGAGGACTCATGATGCTTGATATTTGCCTTTATCAGGATTGCAGCGCCACCGTGGGCTTTGCCATCTGGGTGCATAGTGTGGTACAGGGAGTACCCTTGTATTTTGAAATAGCTTTTGCTTGTAAAGTGGGTTTCTGAAATTAGCATTACATCTATTTTTTTTATTTTTAGGAATAATTTTAACTCCTCAGAGTGATTTGACAGGCCATTTGCATTCCACACACATATATTTAGTGGTTGGAATGTGAAGTCAATTTTGACGTGAGTTCTGTTAGCAGTTTTGTGACTATTAACATCTGATTCATAACAGCTTGCATTGTTTCATTTAACTTTAGCAAGAAAGATTCCGTTGTTTGTGTGTCTGTGTTGTCTTTTGTTGGTAAGTTGTTTTGTACTATTTCGCTATATGTTGGGTTAGTTGCTCCAGTTGGCCGAGTTATTTTTGAATTTAGGGGTGACTTTAAGGGTTTCTTTGGAGGTGGGGCTGGGTATTTCATTTTCTGTAGCTCCTTGTAGACTTTACAACCTTTGTAATTCGCAGGATGGTTACCGTCACAGAGGATGCACGTCAGGAGGAGATTAATATTATTAATAATGAGATAAAAAAATAAATCTGGGGTAATATCCGATATTCAGCTGAGCTTGAACTGTAGACTCTAGAATGTGGATGTAAATACAGAGATATTGTACAGAAATACACCCAGATTAATGCATTGTACATGTGCCAATTTTTTGTTGACGAGGTGGAAAATCCCTTCAGATCTCCGGCTCCATGGGGACTCAGGCGCCAAGAGTAACCACTAAAAACCACCCCGACGTCCGGTCTCAGGTGTCCTGCTCTAAGGACGACCCGGACCATGTTATTTCGGGTCCCCCCCGGCACAGGCCATAGACATACGCCTACAAAGATTTGCAGAGAACGGGAATCAAAATCATTGTCCGTGTGGTGACGGATTAAGAATACGGAGTGTCACCACCCCTATTCATCCCGTGGGTGTCGTAAGAGGCGACTAAGGGAGCAAACTACGCAGGACAACAGCACTGCAAAGAGAAGGAAAACTTGACATAAACCCTATAGCAACCCGTCTGGCCAGCGTGGCATAGTAGGCCTAAACCTCCTTTCTAAGGAGAGGCCTATGTCCAGCAGTGGACTATTAAAGCTGTTGATGATGATGATGATGGGAATCAAACTCTATCTACGAGTTCTTCTGCTCCTAAACTACTGCTGCATTGCAAGGTTGTTATATTATTATGTATTCGTTTCTGTCAATCAGGGCGGTGTGTTGCAGCACATGAGGATGCATACCGGAGACCGACCATTTCCTTGCACATTTTGTCCGAAGGCCTTTACACAGAAATCTGGTCTGGACCAGCATCTTCGTATCCACACTAAGGTATGTTTTTTTAAATTATTATAGAAATTGCCGCTTTAGAAAGCGTCGAGGTGACCGTTTAAACCACGACGTCATCCGTGTCTGTCTGTCTGTCTATCTGTAACCTCTTCACGCTTAAACCGCTGAACCGATTTAGATGACATTTGGTACAGAGATAGTCCGAGTTCCGGGAAAGGACATAAAGGATTGGTAGTTTGTATGGGGAATCAATAACCGCTGAACCGATTTATATTAAATTCCCTGTGGAGATACTTTGATTCTAGAGGCAACACATAGACATTTCTTACTGCGATAACCGACCTTTACGCGAGCGGAGCCGCGGGCGAAAATAAGTGAAGCTAGTATGCATATAAATAACTCTACCGCCCGTAAACAGAAAAAAAATAACTCCGGAGCGTCAACCATCCCGGTGTTGGGCAGTTCGCATCCATCTGCTGCCAGACACTTTACTTAATTCGTCGGTGCATCGCGCCGCCTTACACTACGATTGTCCAATCGCCAGCCACCATCCAGTCCGTCTGGAGACATTTTGCCCACGTTTTGTAAGACTATAACTTTTATCCCACTCATAGTGGGCAAGCCTGCCTTCAACCAGGTATTTTAGGTTAAAGAAAATGTTGGAAGCTTTGAAGGCTATGGTAAAAGAATACAGCTTACAGATATTGATTGTGTAGTGAATGTAATAGCTTATAATATCACGATAATAAACCTGTAATTCGAAATCCAAATATTGCGAAGGATGATGTTTTCTCCAAGTGCTCAAGTACTATACTAAACCTGGTGACTGCTCTAAAAATAAATTAAAAAAGTATTTGTGACTGGTTGAAAGGATGGGAAAAGAAAAAAAATTGACTGTGTGGTGATGGATTAAGAATACGGAGTGTTATTGTCACGAGTGGGAGTCGTAAGAGTTGACTAAGTGAATTAACTATGCATTACAACAGCACTGCAGAGAGAAAGAAAACTTGACACAAACCCTATACCAACCTGTCTGGCCAGCGGTGGACTATTAAACGCTGTTGATAAAATCTAACTGACTGAATTTAGAGCCTAGCACTGTCAGAACACCAAAATAAATAAAAGTATAAATTTCGTTTATTTCTTACAGGTGAAGCCGTACCGCTGTGTGGTATGCAGCAAATCGTTCTGCCAATCAGTTCACCTCCGTCAACATATGAGAACACATACCAACGTCGCTCCATTCCAATGTGGCATATGTGACAAGCGGTTTAAACAAAGCAGCCACCTCAACTACCATCTTAAGAACCACAACCCAGCTGTCATGACAGAAGAACAGAAAGCCAAGTATACGGAGCTCATCGGCATGATGAACACCAGTCAAGTTATGGAGTCTGAAACGGTGCAGGTGGAAGCTGAAGTTGATAGCGAGTGGTGTGTGGTAGACATTGTGGATGAAAGCTGATAAGTGACATTACTGAAAAATTTGGTTGAATTCTTAGGAAGAGGTGGGTGTGGTCACCCATCTCTTAACATTGTCTAACTGTAGTAAAAGAAGATTCAATAGTGTTAAATTTAAACTAGTGAAAGTTGAATATCTATATGGGAATTAGCGTAGCCATAGATACACCTTTGAATTGTCTGATATTTCGACCCGGTTGTACCGATTGTGGTCAGACTCTGACTGTCTCGGTAGTGCCCACTGTTATCAAATCCATGACCAGCTCATGGGCTGAGCATGGCATGCATGCATGCTGGCATGTGGCTCTCTCCTACAGTAAAATAACAATTGGTGTTAAATACCCATAGTTCCTTCATACATGTCAGCCCAAAAATATTTATGTATAAAATTCTTCTGTTCGAAAAGTATGTTTATCAGCAGTCTGGTTACCATAGTACAGCCTCTGCCTAGTTTGGGATCAGACGACCGTGTTGAGTTATAAATAAAGCTAATACTTGTAAAATTGGTCCATGTTATACAGAAATAAGTCAATTAACAAACTGACTGAAATTTATGGAGACCTGTGTTTACAATATTTATTAAAAAAAAAAGTTAGAAATTCTGTACTAACTGTTAAAGTTTTGCCTTCTATGATATTTATTTATATGTTTGGCGGTCTGGTCTAGCAGTGGCTTACAGCCTGTCTAAGACCAGTGCAACCTGGTCGAAACGTCGTCTATTAGATATAAAGAAATTGTTTCCTCATTATAAGTATTATCTCAATATAAATAGGGATAGTTTTGGATTGTGAATTGAGACGTTTTCTAATCATCAAGTCTTTAATAGTCCATTGCTGGACATAGGCTTGTTCTTAGAAAGGAGGTTTTAGCCTACTATACCACGCTAGCCAGACGGGTTGGTATAGGGTTTGTGTCAAGTTTTCCTTCTTTCTGCAGTGCTGTTGTTCTGCGTAGTTTGTTCCCTTAGTCGGCTCTTACGACACCCACGGGATGAATAGGGGTGGTGACCGTATCCATAATTTGTCATCACACGAAAGTTTCTTCATAACATGGTTCAAGTATGGTATTAATATTTTCAATATTAATTAATAGTGACATACCATGTGTGAAAAACTTAAGTGTTTGTAATGATTGGACAAGATTTGACCGATGAGTCGACTAATATAGTAAAGTTAGCTTTCTTAATGGTATGATGTCAGATGTTAAACATCAAATACGACTACGCGTCATCTATAAACTACGTTACACGAATTTCATCCCCCCCCCCCTCCCCAAGTTATCTTCTGCGACCTTCAAACCTTTAAGAAAAGAGCGTGCTGCTTCCTCAAAGGCCTGCAACGGGATAGTGACTTGAGTTGCAGACGTTAAAGGGCGATGGTAGTCACTTTCCATCAGGTGACCTCTTACATAAAAAATAAACCCCCGTCCTTGTCACAGCAAGTCATATTTATGAGGCATCTCCCTTCCTAGTGTGACACATCACATATTTTGCAATTTTATATTCATAGAAATTACTAAAACTGCTATTGCTATATACCAATATTTCCATTTTAATTCAATATAAAATCAACATGAAATGAAAAAAAATAATTGATGGTTTTATGTTGAATTTGGAAAATATTAAAAAAAAACAGGGAAGTAATGAATTATATTACTGTAAATAATTAAAATTTCGCTTTCTGATACTTGAATATATTGGGTTTTGAAATGTGATGATACAAATTTTAGGATATCTCCCACCCCTTGTCACACTTCGTCTACTCCGCCCCCATACCCCCTCCTTAACCTGTGACGTAATTTATGGAGATCCCCTAATTAGAAGCTTTGCTCGTCTTTAAGTATTTATTGTGCAATTGTAAGAAAAAAGATATCTCAAATATATCTCTACGGTAATAACAATATGATACCCGTTTTTTGGGTTTAAATTTTTTAGTATTTTTTTATTTTATTTAGAAATAACATGAAGTGTGTAATAGATATATTATCTAATATATAAAATTCTCGTGTCACGGTGTGCGTGGTTGAACTCCTCCGAAACGGCTCTACCGATTTTCGTGAAATTTTGTGTGCATATCGGGTAAGTCTGAGTGGTCAAGAAAACGTTGTTCTGAGTCTGGGTGTACTTTGTGTCCGTTTCATGTATGTTTTTAAATTCCTAATGCGGGAGTTGTCAAAAAAAAAGAATATTCAGTATAGTAAATTTAGTGTCAGTTATTTTTTTTTTCTTTTTGGGAACTGCAATAAAATTTACAAAACTAGTGTTTTTGCTAACCCAGTTTTTGTTGAAAGATATTACGCTATCAGGGTAGGGCTACTTGGAGCAGAGTAGTGATCATAAACACATTTTATACATATTGGATAAATAGATGAGGCATAAATTACTATTGTTTAAAAAGCAAACTTAACGACATTTGATTTTGTATAAGTCGATTTTAAGAAAATTTACAAAAGGAATACGTTTTCTGTAGATATATTATCTACTCAAGTTAAAATGAAGTAAATATATTGTATTTTAGAAGTACTAAGCTGATTTTTTAATAACTTGTAATATGATTGCAATAAATGAAGTACAAAAAAATTGTGTGTTAAATTATTTCGTTGGTCGTATCCCCTTGGAGGGTCACTCGAAGGGTTAGTTGTTTACCTTCAGGTCTCCCGTCTTCTCCTTTCTCATATACCTTTTGCCAGAGAGGAGGCAAACGCTGTATGTATAGGCCCGGGAGGGGAATTAACTGGTTTTTGTCCCTGCCTCCTCTTCAGTACATCCAAAGGTCTATTCTAGTCAATAAAATCATTTTCCAAAAAAACGACTAGAAATATCAAACATGTCTCCATTGACGTGTCGTTTAAAATTTTTAAAGTGAACACTTCTGAATTACAAACAAAAGACTGTATTTTTTGAAATGGGGAAAAACCATTGTTACCGTTACCGACACCTCTGTATATAAGTATCTACATATATTGGCCCCGTTTACACGAGAGTTGAATTTGGGTTGAAATACATGATTATATAACTATATATAACACACACATTTATTGTGTATAAACGTACAACATAGATCAAATCGTTTTTTTTTTTTTTTTTGTTATAATCAAAAATTAAAATTTTTAAAGTTTTTACTTCTGTCTGCACTCCCGGAGTGACGCTGTTACAGGTGTTAATGTTGATAAGACATAATTCTTCTACTGAATAATATATTATTATTATTAATAATTAAAAAATAATTAATTTTCCCCGTTGTTGCAATAATTTTCAGTGATGCTCAGCTCGGCTCGGAAAGGCTATAACACTAACAGAATTTGACAATTCGAACCAGTAGTTCCTGAGATTAGCGCGTTCAACCAAACAAACTCAACTCAAACTTTCTTTATTTCATAAAATTTCCAAAATTGTTTGAAATCGTCTTCCATGTAGATTCTAAAGTCATAGATCAACACACACAAAAGCAACAATCTCTGTTTTGTCAAACAAACTTCTATGGATTAGATATAGATTAAAATACGTAATTTGGATTAGACAAAATGCGAAAAAGTATTTAAAACGTGAAAGTTACCCTACAATTTTAAAAATTGCATTCCTATAGATAAGTTTCTTATTAATACAAAGCGCGTTCGAACGTCATATTAAAGCTTTTAAAATATTATGGATTCAAAATGAGCAACCTTGGTCACAAAACCAAAGCAAATATTTTGTATATGCCTTTAATAACAAATATTTTTGTATATTTAAATAAATATCGTAATATATTTAACAAAAAAGCCGTCTAGTATTAGCTTCAGCTACGTCTAACTTATTGACAGTCTGTTTTTCATACAACATGTGTGTTCCTGTAGCCGCTTTTTAACGTGTTGCGTATGGCAATTAGGTCTGTTATGTTTTTAATATAATTAAAAATCTAATATTCAACACAATACAACCAAGAAGAAGTAAGAAATAAGATATTTACTATAACTATTTACCTAAAATTATACAAAATAATCTGTCATATGTATAACTTCGGAACGCCTTCTCGCAGTTCGCAGTATTCACTTGTCACTTTGTATTTGTATTGGTAATTGTCAGTCATCACTTTTCAAGGTTGAATATTTACCTGTTTGTTATTCACATGCAGTGATTCCAGAAAAATCCAACTTAAAAAAAGTTATATAAATAAAGTAAATATATAAAAAATTATGTGCGTTGTGTAATAAAAACCGACAATGCTTACATCTAAGGTAAGTGTGTTTATAATTTAAATCGTAGGTTTTATTTTGATACCTATTTTAATTATTTTCAATACACTGATTGTTCCTACTGAAATGAATGACTATACTTAATTTTAACCTTGACACAATGTCCTTCAAGACATTGGCGATATCACGATGATAGAATCTTATCAATAAATTAAATATTCTTCAAGTCCTGTACCTACAAACAAATTTATTTTAACTTAATAGATTAAAACTAAATTAAGGTTTTTTTTTGGTAAAGTTGGAAGTGCTGGTTGATTTTGGAGAAAATCCTGATCAGCAAATCTTAGAGAAAACACTTAATGAGTTAAAATCACAGGATGGCGTTGTGGAGGTATGTATTATGTATAAAACTAATTTGTTTATCAATTATTACTCACAAAGAATAAATATTTTGTTTACTTATGCACAAAGATGTTCATCTGGGTGCGAAATAATAGGTTTTTTAGTGTAACACAATTATTTGTAGAATACCTATGCCTAAAACCAGTTTAATTATTATTTTTGTCTGTCTAGCTGTCGGTCTGTTTGTTCCGGGTAATCTTCTAAACGGCTGAACCGCTTTTGATAATATTTTACTACCAGGTAGCTGTCTATAAAAGGAGTAACTTAGGCTATTTTTTCTCTTAGGAAAACCCTTTCCCAGTCCTGTAATCAAGCCCACTAAGGCAGCGCTTTTCAAATAATAATAATAAAATTCTAAATGAACGAAGTGCGGGTAGAAGGGTACCGGCTAGTTCTAGCAATAAATAATGTGAAATTAATGTTGGTTTCGCAAGAGTTTAATTAGCTGTGGCAAGCCATCAGGGATGCTTTAATAGCTGTTAAGCATTTTTTGGTGGCTTAATAATCTTGACAGTATTTTTTAAAGAGTGTCATGAGGGATCAATGAGAGGTGACGAATATGTGTGGGTATAAGAAAATGTAAGGTATGGGAGTCGAAGGTGCAAGAGTAGAGGAATACCAAAGATAAGGTGAATGGACTGTGTGAGAGAGAATATGCCTAGGAAAGGAGTAAACAGTGAGATGACGAATGACAGAAAAGAATTGACGAATCGTATTTACAACTCCAACCCCAAATAAAACTGGAATAAGGGTACGCATGATGATATTAAATAAATAAAAATTACACACGGAGATCCAAACTTTGGTGTAAATGAGTCAACTTGAACAGAGCGATACCACTGGTTTACAGAAAAACGGTGTCAATTCTTTCGGCCTAAACTCCCTAATTCAAGCAGTTACTTATTTGATCCCTTCATCATAATATAATAGCATTATTAAAAAACCCCTGACACAAAAACTCTTTAAAAAACAATGACTGCTTATTGAGACTGCTCTAATAAGCCCAAACATGGTATATATGCTGTAATTTTTTGAGGAGTTGGCTCTCCCGCGGACTACATGATGCAGCAGCAAGTTCCAGGTTACCATGTCGTGAAATACCATCAAAAAAAGAGTATACCAAATTTCAGATCAATTGGACTTGAGGATTTTAGTGTGATCCCTTTATCATCTAGGAAAAGAGGTGATGATCTTCAAAATTTGTAGCTAAGAACCATCTCAATCACATTGGTTTTCGAACAAAAATATCCACATCGAAATTGGTCCATCCGTTTGGGAGCTATGATGCTACAGACAGACAGACAAATACACAGATACATTGTTTAAACTTAAAACATTTTCCATTTTGAATTAAAAAATAACACTTGAGTCAGTCAGTTAGTAACTCTCCTGTAAACAGACATTTTTGAGTTATGTATTGTTAGAACTACACTGACAAAATGTATAAAGCCCTTTTTTTCCGAATTTGCTACAGCTATGACAATACATATTTCCGAGTTCTATTTGTTATAATACGTCTCGCAATTCGGTGCGCCTCTTGGCATAGGCTTCCTCCAGCTCTCTCCACTGAGCTCTATCCTCTGCTACTCTAGTCCAGTAAGGTCCCAAGGTTAGGCGGATATCGTCTTGCCATCTAGTTTTCGGACGTCCCTTTCTTCAACAGTCCTCTCTTGGGTACCATAAGGTGACTTGTTTGCTCTATTTATTTATTTTGGAACGTAACATGTCCTGTCCAGCCCCATTTTAAATGATCTATGCGTTCTTCTTATTTCAGAATTTCTAATTTTATCACTAAGTCTGAGTCCCAACATGCTCCTTTCTATTGGCCTTTGTGTACTATACCTAATTATTGTGTTCTAACTTTCAGGCAGTGTTTAAGAATGGGGCCTTTATGGTAGAGACATCACTGCCAAGTACAAATATATTAAATTTAGTGTCCAATACATCTGGTAAGAGAGCAGTTCTCCAGGGATTCGGAGGTAAGAACTGGGAATATCATCAGATGTACAGAATATTTCAAATTTTACTTGATTGTGTACATACATTCCTTATTTATTGACTGCACGGGTGGCATAGTGGTTTAAGCGGTCACCACGCTGCTTTCTACTGTGCAGAGTGTTGTGGTTTTGATTCCCACATGGGACAACACTTGGCATGATCCACAATTGTTTTTTAAGGCTGGGTGTTCTTTGTGTCTGTTTCACAAATATTTGTAAAGTCTCCCATGACACAGGATATATTCCTAGACTGGGAGTTGTTTTTTTCTTTTGTTTGTATTTATGTAAAAGTTTGAATGTATGTTGCTAAAAAAATCTACACTTCTAGTTTGTATTTATTTCTTAAAGAAAAGTAAATGTAAATATTCTCCCCAAAATACCACTTTACCTTTAGACTGGCCTGCTGTTCTAGTGGTTAGTGACCTTGACTACTAAGCCAGAGGTTGTGGGTTCGATTCCCACCGAAGACAAATAATTATCTATAATATGTATCTATGCACGGATGGCGTAGTGGTTTATGTGGTCGCCACGCCCCACTACGCTCAGTGTTGTGGGTCCGATCCCCACATGGGACGACACTTTGTGTGAACTACAAATTGTTGTTCTGAGTCTGGGTGTTCTTTGTGTCCGTTTCACGTATGTTTGTAAAGATATATTCCTAGTTCGGGAGTTGTCTTTTATAAGAAAGAAAAGAAGTTTTTTTTTTATACCTGAGCTCCTTAGAGACGCTATATACCCGTCGGTAGAATTCTGTGGCGGTGTTTATGACATCTGCTCGAGTTTGTTGTTTTGGAGCGTTCGCGTTCAATGATGATATTATTATCCATTGTTTTGTAGTATTAAGTTCTTTTGAAGGAGGAGGCCTTTACCCGAAGAAGGACTATTAGACTAAGAGTATCCACACCCATTAATATTCCAATTTCTGTGTTCCAACCACGGTAGAACCCCCCGTTCATCAAACAATCTTCTTGCCCCAATGCCCCACTCATACTTCCGCTCGTGTCCACTCCTCCTAAATGCCTTAAGTCATTAAGTCCGCCATTGTACAACCCATACTTGTACATAAAGAATAAAAATAAAATAAATAAAAATAATATTCATACGAATGTAATTATTGATTATTGATTGATTATTGATTGTAAAAAGACAACTCCCGCATTAGGAAAATATCCTGTGTCGCGGGGGACTTTACAAACATACATGAAACGGACACAAATAACACCCAGACTTGGAACAACAATTTGTGGATCACACAAAGTGTCGTCCCATGTGGGGTTTGAACCCACAACACTCGGCGTAGTAGGAAGCGGCGTGGCGACCGCTTAAACCACTACGCCATCCGTGCAGTCAAGATGTAAGTACATGCCAAATGAATAATAAAGGCTTTCTTATTTTTATTTATTTATTTATGTATGTATTTAGAAATATATAAGTATGTTTATCAGCAGTCTGGTTACCATAGCACAGGCTTTGCCTAGTTTGGGATCAGACAGCCGTGTGTGAGATATGTGAATTTATTTTTACAAAATCTGTGTATGTATAATTATATAATGTATATTTATTTATTTTTACACTACGTTAGCTTCGATACACCTAAACTACCCACTGTTTCTCCTTATCTACTGTCAATTTGTTCATCCAAAGGTTGTCTGTAAGAGATTGCTATTAGCAATAAGGCTGCCCATTGTACATATCCATCTGTAATATTTAACCAACTTACTGTAATTTGTGTACAATAAAGCATATTCTATTCTATCCTTACCAGCCATCTGACGGCTAATTTCAGCCGCTAGAGTTGACCGTCAGATGGTATAGATAGTTCAACTGAGTTGTGCGCGCGGCCCTATGTGTGCGTGGGCTTGTCAATATACAACTTTCATTCGTGTGGCAGTGACGCGGCAGTCGTCGTCCGAGCAAGACGTTGTGCCACACGAATGAAAGTTGTGCTACTCCAGCTTTCTGTTAAACATTCCAGCAAGTCATGAGGATAAAATTAACTTATTAATAAAAAAAAATAAGTTCTGAGGTAAAAAAAAAACTTCCAGAAACCCAATCAGCCGTATGCATGATATCCAACCAAATATGCTGCCCATCCAAAGTGATGGGGGTGATCCGGTTCCAACAAACTGCAGAGGGTCCAATGGTAGCTGACGGCAGCATAGATGGACTGGCCTGCGGTGTTCATGGCCTTCACGTTCATGATGTAGGAGACCTTAGCCAGGTAGGTGGTGAGCAGAGGATCCCAGAACCCCGGGATTTAGGGTCCCGATCGTAATTTAGTCAGTCATTTTTCGGCTAAACATAAAGTTTAAATTGTAGAATTCTGGAAACTGTACTCGACATGGTCAAGTAATATCGAATATAACATTAATTTAAACTTGTAAGGCCAGGAACTCTCGCGGGCGTCCCTAGAACAACCTACATAAATCCTTTAAAAAAAAGTTGAACCGACTTCAAACAATACTGACAAAGAGCATTAAAAATTAAAAAATAATTACAAATCTAAGTAAACAAACTATAATAAGTACCCTCAATATAACAGGTAACAATATAATAGCACTAGTCCCTTCTAGTCTGTTTGAAGTCGGTGCTAAGTCCGATGCACAATAAGTAATACTGGTCTATGTGAGCTTTACTGTTACTTTGTATGTTTATCCTACATACAAAAAGTGATTTTTATCAGATAGCTGTACTGGGATCGCCATTTTATTCACGATATTCATACTAATATTATAAATGTTATTTATTATTAAATATTATTTGATTTTCTTTTGTTCTTTCTTTATTTTTTTTTTAACACATCTATGTATCGGCATCTCAGTGTGTTAGTATTTGTATGTGTGTGTATGTATGTGTACTCATGGGGGTGTGCGCATGTGTATGTGCTGATACGTGTATATGCATCTATGTGTATATTATTTATGTGTTATGTATATCCCTGCCAAGGCTTACACTTCTCCTCATTTTAAGTCGACAATTCTCCTTAGAGTACCTATATGCAGAGACTTGTAATTAGCAATAAGGTTATTTAATTGTAATTATACAAAATTGTTATAAGTCTGTTAGTCTCTCTAAGAATAATTAAATAAATAAATAAATGTGAAAGTGAATTTGTTTGTTTGGTACGCGTTTACGTCTAAACCACTAAACCGATTTAAAAAATTCTTTCACCAATGGAAAGCTACATTATCAGCGCGATAACTGACATATGACCGACATTTGACGACCGGACAGCGTAGTGGTTTGTGTAACGGACTGCCATTCCAAAGGTCGCGGGTTCGATTCCCGCTCTAGTCAAACATTTAATGTTTGATTTGGTCTGGGTGTTTCTATGAATAAGTATGTATTTACAAAAAAAAAGTATTTATGTATTTATATCAGTTGTCTAGTAGCCATAGTACAAGCTCTGCTTAGTTTGGGACTTTTTTTTTCCGTGCGGAAATACCCTCTGATACCCCCTATCGGTGGCATGTCGGACTCGAACCGACTAAAACCGCACGCGGTCTCGGGTACTAATAGCCGGGGAACCAGGTATACCCTAGAAAGGAAGTCCATGGTGCTCTTAGTTTGGGACTAGATGGCGTTGTGTGAATGTGGTAATATATTATTATTATTATACATGCGGACGAAGCCACGGACAAAGCTATAATCGAAATCGTAAATAATATTTTCCTTTTGCTTGTAGGGTTGTGAATCCATTGGGGACCATTATAACCCCCGTGGGTCTCCACATGGGGGTCCAGAAGATCCCGAAGACCATAGACACGCGGGGGACCTGGGGAATATTGTGGCTGATGAAACTGGACGAGCTACATTCAGAATAGTTGACAACGTGCTTAAGGTATTGAAGTATTTCTATGTTTTATGTTCATACATCACATCAACAGCTTTTAATAGTCCACTGCTGGACATAGGCCTCTCCTTAGATGGTTTTGGTCTACTATTCCACGCTGGCCAGACGGGTTGGTTTGACGGGCTTGCTGGTCGAGTGGTTAGTGCCTCTGACTGCTAAGCCGGAGGTCGTGGGTTCGATTCCCACCCAGGACAAATATTATGTGATGAGCATGATCATTTGTTCTATGTCTGGGTGTAATTTATCTATAATATGTATGTATTTAAAAAAATATATAAGTATGTTTATCAGCAGTCTGGTCACCATAGTACAGGCTCTGCCTAGTTTGGGATCAGACGGCCGTGTGTGAAATGTGTGAGGTATATTAAAAAAAATTATAATCATTCTCAGACCCAATCTAGGTTTGAGTCGGCTTTCAGACTGAACTTCGATTTTTTACCTCAGCAACCCAAGTACTAGGCGATATCGAAATTCTATACAAAGACTGTGGTCAGACTTTTGAGGGCTGCAACTAGCCGTAACGATTGCCCACAGATGTTTGTATGGCAACAGGCACCGTCTTCTTTAGGTGCTCTCAGGGGCACGTTAAGCTACATGGTAGTAAAATATTATCAAAGTGTTGAAGATTACCCGGATCAAACAGACAGACAAAAAATATTTAAACTTCTCTTTAGGCATAAGTATCGTGTGAGCATGAAAATAACCTATTATTTTAACATTACAAACGAATACTTCAATTTTGTTTATTTGTATAAATATTAGAAATGTAAAATGCGTACCTGATTAAAACATTATTTTGTTTTCAGGTGTGGGATATCATAGGTCGTTCTGTAGCCGTCACGGAACAGAGAGATGATTTGGGCCAGGGGTCTTCTCCCACCTCCAAGATAGATGGGGATAGCGGCAAGCCGTAAGTAGACTGATATTTTTGTATGTAAATACTATTCTGTGATATATATCTACTTAGAGCTGTCTAGGCATGGCTTGTAGTGTGGGCTCTAGAACAGGTATGTGGCGACAACGAAAAAAAAACCTACTGCAGCGCCATCTAACGAACACAAACCGAACTACGGAATAACTGTTAATCCTGTATCACGTCCCTCCACCACAAAGCGAGGATCCTCTCACCAGGCGAGATGATCATGCTTTTGTAGTTGTGTATCATACTAATCAGGGCCAGAACTTTCATTGTGCGATGCCGGATATTAATTACTCCGTAGTTCGGTGTCTCTTCGTTAGATGGCGCTGTGTGTTTATGACCTTTGCACCATAATAGGTCAACATATACAGGGTTACTAGTTAAGTCGACCTTAGTAATAGTATATTGCTCAAAGAAACAAAAAATATTTTTAACAAATTTATTTTATTTTGTTATTATCAACCATCTACTTTGGCCCAGTTTGTTAAATTAACTTCAATTTTGGTAATGGAAATTATAAAACAAAGTGTCATCGACACAAAAAAAAGTAAAAAAATAAGCAGCGGTAAGACCACGGAACCCTCTCATACCGGTTGACGCTGGTGATCACCGGGAAAGGATGCTTCGGAGATCACCTGTGTCTGACCCGCAAGGACCCAACGCCTGAGTGCCACCACTGCGATGGCCGGACCGTGGACACAGTGCTCCATACGCTGGCAGAATGCCCGGCGTGGGTGGAGCAGAGGCGTTGCCTCGTGGCGGCCATCGGAGTGGGAATTCTCTCGCTCGGTAACATGATTGCCGCCATGGTACGGAGCGAGAGTTCGTGGAACTCCGCCGTCTCCTCCTGCAAGCAAGTTATGCTTACAAAGGAGATGGCGGAGCGGGACCGGAAGTTTACAACTCTCCCGAAGCGCCAGGCCCGGTCACGGTACCATAGTCAACTCAGGCGCCGGAGGTCGCAGAATGACCTCCGTCCTATATGGATATGGAAGCTAAATTGACTGATAAAATAAGTATATCCTTTTTTTGAAAATACATACATATTCATAGAAAACACCCAAATTCCGAAACAATTATTTGCAGATCATACATAAATTTGGTCCGACCCGGGAATCGAACCCAAGACTGCACTACCGAGGCAGTATAAAATGGGTATACACAGATTACTTCGCGTATTGATATATAATTTTCATTCGTTACAGAATAGCGTGCGGCATTATAGCGCGGTCGGCCGGCATCTTCCAGAACCCAAAGCGCATATGCGCTTGCGACGGGGTCGTGGTCTGGGATGAGAGAGATAGACCTCTGGCCGGCAAGGGAAGAAGAGTTGAGAAGAGTTGTTGCAAGAAAGAAGAGAGTGAGAAAGTAGAAGAAGGGAATAAGTGTTGTTGTTAATATTTTGGGGGCTTTTGTACTTCGGTGTTAATCAAATAAAATTTTAATTCACCAAAAATATAGTTATATGTAATAAATTGTTATTGAAATTGTTTATTTAGGGTTAAACGGAATAATATAATAATTGTCTTGTGTATTATTTATAAAATTATATTCATAATGAACAATTTAGTTTTATTTTTTTGTCTTAGTGTTGATTGAATACCCGATCGCAGTGTTATTTAAAACCCCAAGTCTGACAAAAGGCTACGCAATACTGGTATTTTCGAGTTAGTGCTGTCTCAGTAATTAGGATTTAATTATTCGCTTACAAAAAAAACTGAGATTTGAATAAGAAAGCATTATTTTAACCCCAATATTTTATAAAATATTAGCAAAAAAAAGTACGACAGCACTGCAAAGAGAGGGAAAACTATACCAACCTGTATGGCCAACGTGGTGTTCTAAGCCAAAACCTCCTTTCTAAGGAGAGGCCTATGTCCAGCAGTGGACTATTAAAGGCTGTTGATTATGACGATATTATTTTCTGCCCTTATTAATCGACACATTTGGGCTTGGCTTGGCCGGAGTGATACCACGGCTTCACAGAAAACCGGAGGTAATCAATGATATTAAATACGAACAAGAGGTAGATACGCCACCAACTCACAAAACGCGAGGGTCCTAATTAGGACCACCGCGAGCGAGCGCACGTACCAATTAATTCGAGACAATTCATAACATACCTTCCTGTGTATTCCAAAAGTGCACAAATTACGACAAAAAGGTAAATAAAGATAATGGAATATCATACCACAGGTAAGTGCATATTTTGTTCTAAAATGCACTAATAGATGTATGTACGGTTACGGAATAAATATTTAGTGCGTGCAGTGTGAATATAACGTATCTTTGTTAAAATATCATTGGTGTTAATCAGGTGTTTATTTGTTTTACACCGAGTAATGTTACTGGAGACCAAACTCTCCCCAACATCTGATTCTGGCACTTAATAATAATAATAATATATATCACACATCTCACACATGGCCGTCTGATCACACACTAGGCAGAACCTGTACTATAGTAATCAGATTGCTAATAAACATACTTTTATATTTTTAAATACATACATAAATTAATAAAAAGCATTTAATATTCCATTGGCATGTACATTCGTATGAATATTAATGGGTGTGGATAATTTTAGTCCAATATACATGTCATCTGGACCCCTCTTCGGGTAAAGGCCTCCTCTTCCAAAAGAACTATATATATATATATATATATAATATATATGGGGTCTACCAATAAGAACGTCCTGGTTTAAAAATGGAAAACACAATTTTTTATGAAAAATGCATCCGATTGATTTATTTGATAGATAATTTTATGCCTTTTATGTTTTAAATAATATATCGGCCAAATGACCGCCGCGGCTCTTTTTGCAGACGGTCACCCGCTCACGCCAATTTTCGATGACGCGGTGCACCATTTCGGCCGGTATGTCGGCTATGGCTCGTCGAATGTTGGTTTTTAGGTCACGAATTGTGGCTGGATTATTGCTGTACACTGAAGATTTAACGTAACCCCAAAGAAAATAGTCTAAAGGTGTTAAATCACACGATCTTGGTGGCCAACTGATCGGTCCATTTCTCGAAATTAACGACTCACCAAACTTTCCACGCAATAATTCCATGTTCACTCGAGTAAAGTGAGGTGGTGCACCGTCTTGTTGAAAATAAAGGTCGTCTGCATCAATATCATCAAATTCCGGAAAGAAATATGCGGTTAACATCGAGTTACAGCGCTCGCCATTCATAGTAACGGGGTTTCCTTCGTCACTTTTCAAAGAAGTTTTGGACAATTTCCAAGCGTTGGTTTAAAGTGAAACGTGACATGATAAAATGGCAAACCTTACTGAACACAAATGTCAAGAGACGTCAAAGATCCATCATCAAACATGGCCGCTATGAGCTGTCAAAACCAGGTTATCCCTATTGGTAGACCCTATATATAGATAAATTACACGCAGACACAGAATAAATGACCGTGCTCATCACACAATATTTGTCCTGGGTGGGAATCTAACCCGCGACCACCGGTTTAGCAGTCAGGGTCACTAACCACTAGACCAACAGGCCCGTCAAGTACTTGAGTTGCACACGTCTGTTCGTTTGCAGAGTTTAATGGAGAAGAAATAAAACAATAGGAACCAACAATTATAGTATTTATTTAGTACTAAACAGGCAATCTATAGTACAATGTGGAACTAACAAAGCCATTATAATAACGTTGAACAAACATTTATAATAATTGAACGGTGAAGAGTAAAAATATGTGTGTCGTCCATCTCTTATAACATTTTAATTCACAAATCTTCAGTTTTATCATTCTCAAAAATATGTTTTTTAAATTTCAAAATTTCCACAGACAATCTATATTAAATATTGACAATACATACAGATAATAAAAATGCATAATAATATAGTCAAATAAATCAGGTCGGTTTTCTCGTAAAAGGTTTAAATTTATTAAAAAGCCGTGTGGTGTCGTTAGACTGAAGTTTCTTAATCTATTTAGCAAATATTTTATTTATAAATTGAGCTAAGTTAAAAAAAAGCTGCTATTTTTTGAACCGACTTCAAAAAGGGGGAGGTTATCAATTCGGCTGTTTATTTTTTTTGTGTATGTTCAGGCATAACTCCGTCATTTATGGACGGATTTTCAAAAATCTTTTTGTGTTCGAAAAGGGTTTATCCTGAAATGGTCCCATTTAAATTTCATATAGATCTGATGATGAGTTTCGGAGACAGACAACGGAACTCATCAAAAAATGTCAGCAAATCAACCGCGATTGCTGCTAGGTTTTTAGTGTTCTTTGTTAGTATTGTTTGAAGTCGGTTCAACTTTAAAATAAAAAGGATTCATTCTTGTTTATTAAATTACTCGAAAACTATCGGTTGTAGAGAAACGAGACTAGTCTTTTTTTATTCCTCATCAAATACTCCAAAAATCATTGGAATAATGTCTCGATCTCCGATGCTTTGTTTTCGAGTTAATTAAATAAAAATGTACAATCCAAGTACTTGTAACAACTTACTTAATTAGGTAGCTACGAACGCTTATTCGTAAGGTACGCTTTTCCTAGTGAAATCAGGAGTAAGGAACTTATTTGCTATATATGGGTACATAACATTTATAACAAGAATTAATAACATAACGTGTTGTTATTTTCTATACGACGTTTTTTGCATCAATACGGCTATGCCAAGTTAAAAAATTTATGAAAAATCTGTCAAACGATTTTATTCATTTATTTATTATTTATTGTACACATACATATATATAAGTAACAAGGAAATGTCATGTACAAAGGCGAGCTTCACCCTAAACTGAGTTTTCTTCCAGCAAACCTTGAGCGAATGGAGGACAACAGAGAAACGTAAGGGTACAGTCATGCGTACTTAGGCATAAACACAGAAAGGCATATAAATTACACAAATACTGACATTATTTAGGATAGTAAAATATATTATACGTATATACACACATACATACATACATACTAAGGGTCTGTGATTTTGTGAGTAACTTATCGCTAATATACAAGGAATATAAATTGATCACAACACGCAATATCTACAAAATAGACTCCGATGCATCGAAGTAATTTTACACACATTTATTTGTAAATATTTGTTTGTTAGTCTGTTTAGGTTATAAGGATGCATTCACATTGGTATAGAACAATTTAGAACTATTGAAGAGAATTCACTGCTAGGCCCAATATCGCGGGTTCCATTCCCGCTCAAGTAAAACATTTGTGAACATGAACATTTAATGTTTGATTTGATCTGGGTTTTTCTACGTATAATATATAATGCATGTATTTAGAAATAATAAAGTATATATGTATTTATATCAGTTGTCTAGTAGCCATAGTACAAGCTCTGCTTAGTTTGGGACTAGATGGATAGAATATTATATATTCATTATAAATTTAAGCCGTGTGTGTATTTGTCAAGTTTTAGAAAAACCAAAGAATGATTGGTAAAAAAAAAATCCCAAGCCCAATATTGTGATACCTCGTCTCGTTAACTGGTAACCACTTAAGAGTTCCACTATGGCTTCGTGGCTGGCGCCATTGAATCGCTGGCCTATATACCGAGGGGTTCGTTCACAGCTTCGGTAAACAATAAATGACAAATTACAGTATTGGCATTCAAACACATTTAAACTACATTTGCAGTTACATACGTTTCGTTACAATACGATAATTACAAGTGCGTTAAAATACCCTCCATTTGTTTATAGTTTCAATAAAATAATAATAGTAACTATACACATCCCAAACACGGCCGTCTCACCTCACACTACACAGAGCCTGTACTACGGTAACCAGACTGCTGATAAACATACTTATATATGACTAAATACATACATTTTATACATAAACAGAACAACTGATCGTGCTCATCACACAATATTTATCCTGGATGGTAATTTAACCCACGATCTCCGGCTTAGCAGTCAGGGTCACTAACCACTGATCAACAGGCCCATCTAAGCTTTTTAAAAATAAAAATATACATAGAACCGAGTAATTTTTAGTTCTTTTATTTACAAATATAATCTACTTATTAAAACTACATATATTTTAAGTAAAAACAGCAACAGAAGAGAGATGAGTTACTTAATACACTGCGCCGACTGTGTTTCCGAATTTGTCAAAATGTGTTGGCACTGCATCGTACGGTGCAGATCGAAAGCATGGTATACCTAGATAGTTCAACTCAGTTGTGCGCGCGGCCCTATGTGTGCGTGGGCTTGTAAATACACAACTTTCATTCGTGTGGCAGTCGTCGTCCGACTGCCGCGTCACTGCCACACGAATGAAAGTTTTCAATTCATTCCATAAATTACGTCAAATTAAATTCTTAGTTTTTTGTAATTCCCCTCTCCCTAGTATGACGTCACAAATTTTATTATTTTACATCTAAAAATTATTCAAATTCAAA